CTGTTCATAATCATATCATCAATTATAACCACACGAATTCGAAACTTGACTTTTATAGAATATTCCAGATATCCAAGTGGATAGGTGTTGAATCATTCCTATTACATGTATTTGCAGTTGATTCGATAAACAAAGCTTCTACTGTCATCAGTCTCTCCCTCCACCCTGCTTTGACATTAGATTTTAAAGCTGTCATCTTATCCCGCCATCCTATTGTATGGTTGTGTCTAACTGCATGTAGTGAGTGATATAGCTGAACTGTTCTCCAGATTTCTTATCTTATTCGCGTCAACTAATCTAGATTTTTCTAGGTTTCAATACTCGGCTAGTCTGACTGCCCTTGTTCTACTAGTTTGACCTATGTATTTGACCTGACAATCATTGCAGGCAGAGTATTAGATAAACTAAATTGTTTTGTTTTAAAGGCTCCACAAGATTGATCCTTCAATCGACAAAGCTTGTTTCTGATATATGTGTGAAACTTGGGCACTGTGGTAGTAAGTAATTCCATATTAGTTTGTTTATTAGGTATATCACACAGTGAAACAGTATTATTTACTGGATGACAAGGTTTCGAACAAAATTTATTGTTCATAATCATATCAATTGTGATCACACGACTTTGACACTTCAGTTTTATAGTTTTCTTTGTTCTCTCATATTTGTCGTATGGGTAGTAGAATTTTCCAAATATCGGGGACAGGTGATGAATCATTCCTATTACACGTATTTGCAGTTGATTCGATAAACAAAGCTTCTGTTATCAATCTCTCCCTATACTCTGTGACATTAGATTTTAAAACTGTCATCTTATCCCGCCATCCTATTGTATGGTTGTGTGTGACTGCATGTAGTGCTATAGCTGAACTATTCTCTAGATTTCTTATCTTATTCGGGCCAACCAATCTAGATTTTGCTAAGTTTTTATGTTCAGCTAGTCTGACTGCCCTTGTCCTACTAGTTTGACCTATGTATTTGACCTGACAATCATTGCAGGCAGAGTATTAGATAAACTAAATCGTTTTGTTGTAAAGGCTCTACAGGATCCTTTAGCCGACAAAGCTTGTTTCTAATTGAGTTTGTGGGTTTGAATGCCGTTTTTATTCCTCCCTTGTTGAGAATTCTGCGTAAGGCTTCTGAGGTTCCTTCCTTGTATGGAATTACTACAGATGATTTAGATTCTTTATTGTTGGTGTCGTCATCAATATTGTTATTATTATCATTATTATTGTTATTATCACTATCGCTATTATCATTATTAATGATAATGATAATAGCGATAGTCAAACATGCGCAAGACAACACCATTAATAAGGATTCTAAATCATCAGGAGTATTTCTATACAAAGAAGGAACCTCGGAAACCACTTTACGGAGAACTTTTAACAATACAAACGTGAATAAAAGTGGATGGCATTCAAACCACCGACAAACTCAGTTACAAACAAGCTTTGTCGGTTGAAGGATCAATCCTGTGGAGCCGTTATAACAAAAAAATTGGTTTATCTAATACCCTGCCTGCGATGATTGTCAGGTCAAATGCATGGGTCAGAGTAGTAGAACAGGGGCAGTCAGACTAGCCGAGCATGAAAACCTAGCAGCGAAATCTAGATTGGTTGACCCAAATAAGATAAGACATCAGCTATACAACTCACTAGATGCAATTTCACACAACCATACAATAGGATGGGATCAGATCAAAATATCACAGTAATCTGTGAAAGAAATCACTGACTGTCGGTTTAAGCAGCAGTGTAAGGTGGCGTGTTGTCTTTTTCCCTCGAAGTCTTCGAGATTATTCATAACCTAATTGGTGGATGGTGACTAGCATTGGAATCCACCAGGATCCGCATTTCGTCCTATTTGGGACTCGTCATCTGGATGTTCCTGCATTCCCCAGTGAGTCAGTGGTTATGTTCCCACCGGAGCTCGAACCCAGTGACCATGGTTTCAAACGCCAAAGTGCTATCCACTAGACCACTTGGGCCACGAGAGCTGGCCACCCCTTGTGCAACGGGTCATATTAATTATTTAATTGAATTTTGAATTTTCCCGTAAACTGATTGATTGGACCGAAGTGCTCGGTCTCAGGTTGACATGTCTGTCGGCTTCTTGTGCAGATGCGCATCCCGGTGGATTCCATTGCTAGTCACCATCCGCCAGTTAAAATTCTAATTACATGCCCAAACATCGTCGAACCATGTGCACACGAAGCCGACAGACATGTCAACCTGAGACCGAGTACTTCGGTCCAATAAATTGACGGAAAAACCTAAAATTCAATTAAATTATTGATAACTATTCGTTGGAAACTTGTAGTTAGTGAGTACACCGTGATAGCATCCATGTCCCCGTAGTTACACACGAATATATAACAGGATAGAACAAGATGAAAATCTTAAAGCATAATGTAACAGGGTGGGGGCAGTAGATCGACAACCGAAGTTGTTTTCGTTGAATCACCTGAGAATATGTGTTACAAGAATGGTTGAACACTTATCTTGAACATCCTACTACCTTCACGACAAATGCAAAAAATGAACGATAACAAGGTGAACACCGAGTCTCGTAGTTGTGTAGTTACAATTGATGAAATGATTATGAATAATAAATTACGTGTATTTCCAAGAAGCCTGCTCTTTGAGACGAATATTACAGTGGATGTCGAATGAATGCTGCTTATTTAAGTTGCAGAGTAATTTCAGAGTTCGTCTATCGAACCAGAAAAGCGTTGAGTCGGTCTGGGTTGGTGATGAAATATCGGAAACCGTAAGAGTCGTCATCGAATGACATGAATATCGCCTAAAAAATAATTAAACTTTTGAGCAGTGTCCATCATTCTCAAATATTGTGACTGCGAAATTATGGCGACACATTATAATTGACAAACACTCAGATGTCTAAGACTCGAAATTATTGTCATAGTCACCTCCTGGTGTCAAATGTGTGTCTTTGCCGACTACATCTAAAGTCCGGGAAAGGCGGTATACTGAGAGATGTCCAACCGATTTCTGGAATTGTACAGCACGCTTCCTTTGGCGTTTTCTGTCTGTCTGTCTGTATTCGACATAGAACTTTGCATCGATGCGCAGTAGATCAAGTCACCACACTCTCTCCATGTAGCACACAAAGCAAGAGAAGAAAGTAGAAATGCAAAATAGAGACAGTAAACAGAGGTGTGAGACAAAGGAATAGTAATAATAAAGAACAGTATAGTTTCATTGGGAATTATAAGTCACAAGGAATGGATGCATCTGCACCAGACACTGAGAACTATTTTGAGCCATATCACCGATTGTCTCCAACCATTGGTTTTTACCGTCCCGAGGATGCCAACCAGGAAGTCTACACCTTCCTACGTGACTGGCTTAAACTAACTGTTGTAGATTTCATTGACTGGTGCCATGTTTTATTTTGACCGCCGGCAGCTCTTTTCAAGCCTGACCCCTATGTCGGCGTTTTCTGATTTGCTGTCAGTGGATCAGTTAACGGTGAATAAGTGTGTTGAAATGTGAAGTGCTTCGAGGAAGTGGTTATATTTTTTATATTCTATTGATTGATTGTGTCAAGCATTAAATAAGACTGTTTCACTGTGTTGAGATATATATCCAAGTAGATTTGCATGATTGATTGGTTTTTTTTTACTTGCTGTCTTTTATCCCACATCATACTTCTATTTCATTTTTTCTATTCATATTACACTGATGAAATGTACTCATTTGTGTTATTACATTACTCTGTTAAACTGTTTGTGTGTGTGTGGTTGTGGGTTTGTTGATCACAATTAAGCATCACTTACATTAATCTGTCTTCGTTTAATATCCATCTTCATTCATTCATTGTTGTATTATTCTATCATTGATGCATTACTTATGTAATGCCTGTTACTATGAAGTGCTGTAACATTAACCTGGATTCACTGCCATAATATGCATGTTTATTTGTTTTGTTTTCCACGTAGATTTGTGCTTGTGTCTTCTGTGTGTTTGTGTACCAATCACATTGCATAACTCTAAAGTAATTTCTTCATCATACAATGATAATCAGATTATGTGATTTTTTGTAGAAATCTCGATTAATTCCCAAAATTACTTTGTCATGAAATAACATCAATAAGGGAAAACGCGGAATGACTGAAAGTATGTTTCGTCCTAGTCTGGGGCTCTTCAGTGGTGCATTATTTTATTTTATTATAGCTTGATCCCATACAGTATTTTGGTATGGAATTTTCAGCATATGAAATCAGTAACCCAAATTTAGCAGGTTCACCCTTGATATCAGGTGTGCGCTTTGGCGGGGGATCGAACTCTGGACCATATGCGCATGGTCAGCGAGCGTCCTAACTTCTGTACCACCGACCCTATCGGTGATTGTGAAACCCTAGACCTTCAGGTGACAAAATCCCAAAGTCGTTGACCATGAAGTCACTTGGGCAGATTAAGGTAAAGGAGTGCGTCGGTGACCAGAGATCGAACCCCGAATCACCTGAGGCGTGTTTGGCAAGTATTCTACGGCTGTGCCACCGACGCACACCCTAACCTATAGACCAAAACAAATTGAATGTTCATGAATGTTCAACTAATACAAATATCATTAGCTAAACCGAATTACGTTCATGTAGATTAGTAGACCATTTTTCCCGCGGTTGTGAAGTTTTATATCAAAATATCACTTAACTCAGCGTAGCCTGCTATCTCAGTAATACTTAGCAAACAAAGACGTACAAACCTCAGAGGACTAAGTTGTCACTTTGTATAGAATGGTAAAGACTGACATTTTTTTCCATCAAATTTGTCATTCAATATCCAGTTTTAACTCTTTATCGAACTGATGACTCTTTTTCTAATCACACACACTGAATGAATAAATATTATCACTCTTCGCAAAAATGTTCATTAACAAGCATTGTACATCTTATTTAAATAATATTTATTGTAATAATTATTCGATTTTATTAACTCACCTTTTTCCTATCTCTCTCTCTCTTTTACTTTTTCCAGTTCGTTAGCTCATATCAGTGCTGTTCTTGCTCTCTATGGAGATTTAGTTTATGAAGCTGTAAGATATTACCTTTTTTATGCTTATTAATGAACCAATTAACTTTATATATGATTTGAACAAAGCAAGAACTACAGTTTTTTACAGAATAAAGTGGTACCATCTTTTATTTCGTTGCCTATTAGTCGCTTATTAGTTGTTGATTCTTTTAAGTTGTCTGGCTCAGGAAAGAAAAAAGGTGTGTGCTAGCCTGGTACAGCTGAAACGGTAGAAGATGAAAGATTTGGTGAAGGAAAGTTTATTTGGAATTTAGTATCTCTATATAGCCAAATTATGTACACCTTATGCTCGACGCACCATTTGCACTGATCTTCGTGTTGTGCTACTTCTGACCTTCCTTCATATTGTGTGTGTTTCTTTGTGTTCCTTTCACATCTCTCATGTATCTGTACAACACTGTATCATCTGTCTTTTCTGATGTCAAATGCATCTGCGTGCTATTTGATGTTTTAATCGCAGCTGATGAACGTCTCTTTATATACTACTGATAAATCGTATCAGTAGCACACTCCAACTCCACAAAACACACCACTACTACTACTGAAAATTTCGAAACAGATCTTGAACTGTTATTTTCCACTTAGAATACAAAGAATGAACCCAAAGCTTATTATTATCATTCTACTCATCTGTAATCCTGATTTCTTAGAAGCAAAACTAGATCTTCTGAAAGCCACCGTCGTGCAAAATGGATATTCACCGAGATTCATCGACAAAAATATCAAACCTAAAGTTCAGAGAAATGAAACATTACTTGTTCCAAGAGAGAAACTGGATTTCAAGGAAAACTTGACCTGCAATATCCATATGAATAGAATTTCATTATCTTTAAAGGAGAACATCCTTCACAGCCATGCTAGAAGTAGTGTTCTCCAGTTGTCCATTGGTCTCCAGAAGGCTTACGGACAAAATATCGCATCTAATCACTTCTATGTGTTAATATATATATATATATATATGTATATATATATATATCAGTTCACCTGTTGCTGTGGAGCCAGCCAGGTACATTGATTGTTCAACGAGTATGCTGTGTAAAAGGGTTGAAGAATACTATCCCGCACGGCTGCAGAAATGTAGTAGTGGCTCCGTTATAGACAGTGTGATAATAGAACACCTTGTCAACCAACAATGGTCATTCCATCTCAACAAACACCTCCCCCTTCAACAAATCCTCTTCTGCATTAACTTGATATTAACAACTATACCTGTGACAACTCATCACTTTTATTACTACCCTCTTTCATGAAAAAACCAGTTGTATATAATTGCGATGGTACAGTTAATGGGGAAAATGAATTCAACGCGAGAAGAGCCTCTTCGCTGAACTACGTGTTTTCTTTTTTCATGTTTTCATTAATGTCTGGATGAGGATTATTCATGAAAGTATTTTATATACTCTACTACTTCAATAGTCACTTTGTCTTTCTCTCCTCTTTTTTTTCCTTTTTTACCAACAGGATATAAGAGTTCATCGTACAAATACTTCAACGCCATATCATTCTATCATAAAAGATAATCATGGATCACCGTATAAATTACAACAAGTAGGGCAAATTATTTTTCTTTTAACATTTTATATTTGTTTTACGCTTTTTCTATAAATATAGGAATGCATATATTTCTGACAAGTTAGGTAGTTAGCGGAACAAAGTTCGAGTACGGGACCTTTTGAATGAATGGAGGTCGATTGTCTAACCCCCGATGAGCCACATCTCCACTCCAAGTAATATAAAGTTGTGTAAAATATTAGTGGTAAAAGATTCTTGGTTTTAGTGTGTGTAGATGTCTTCGTTTATTTGAATACGTTAGCTAGACCAACGTGGTAATCAGTCTTGCTTCTAAATATAATCCATATCATGTGAAGTATAGGATACAAGTCTCTGCTCTTCATCGATGGAATTCGCCGTAGAAATGTGTGTTACTATGTTGATCAAGTTGAAAAGTTATTGTTATCATCACTTCGATTCTCCTTTATTTTTTTTATTCCTTTACGTTCCCAGTGGAACACACGGCGGCTTCAAGTTTACAGGCTTGAAGTTTCTGTAGCAGTGGGGTGTTTATTTTTACGGGATAGGGTTGCTAGCCGTCTCATGGCCAACCAACCTTCCCTCTTTATCAGTCCTATTACTGGCTTAGCGACCGAGGTAAAGGAGTGCGTCTGTTGGCCGGGGATCGAACCCTGGACCACCTGCATGGCTGGCGAGCATTCTACCGCTGTGTGCCAGTGACGCTTCTGTTGTTAGTATGTATGTAAACTTATGTATATATAAATGCGATTGTACAGTTGCTTTTGAGAATGTAATCGCTGAAAAGATAGTTGTCTTTGTTGAACTTCTTGTTCTTTTCTCTGTAATGTGTCCTTGATGGATATCTTCCACGATTCAAATTGATGTAAACATATCGGAAGGCCGTTTTCTTCGTTTGTGGTTGAGATCATCCGCAGTGTAACTGGTTCGACTCAATTCAGAGAACCGAAATCAGTTTTTTAAGTGTTGGTTTGTAGGGATTTGGTTGATTGGTTACAGGATTTCATTATGAGCTGACATTGGTTAGAGAACCATTGCAAAAAGAGCTGGGAGTACTGGACAGCTGTTTCGTCAGCACAGTTTGGGACTCTTCAGCAGTGCGCACCCACCGGGGGCTTGAACCCAGGACTGGGTTCATGGGCCATTGGATCGGGCCCCAGTGGCTTAATGGTAAACGAGCTCGCCTTGTAACCAGAAGGTCCTGGGTTCGAGCCCCGGTGGGTGCGTACTGATGAAGAATCCCAAAGATAGGACGAAACAGCTGCCCAGTACTCCCAGGTTTTCCAATGGTTCTGTAACTAATGTTGGCTCATTATGAAATCCTGTAACGAAATCAGTTTTCTTTTGAAAGAAATCAAAAGTATTCAGATTGCAGTATATGTGATCTTCTTGGCCACCATGAATGGTAATCAAAAAAGGCAATTAATCAATCACTCACGTCAAACTGTAGTGGTTGCTTTCCAAAATGATATTATGATGATTCTTTTCATCTCAAATTGTGTGATTTGCCAATCATGAATGTGTTTCTATCTTTTTGAAATTGTTAAATAGAAACGACAACAACAAATGACTAACTGACTGACTGAATGTTTGATTGATTGAAAAACACTAGTCCAAGTATCACTCCATCATTTGCTAAATGTTTACATCATTATAGATGAGATTTTATTTTGATGAAACACACAGTGTGTTATACAGTAATATTAACTGATGACCACCTTTCAAGCACAAATTATTACTGCTCATAATCATATGAAGGCACTACTCACACAACTTTCTTGCTTCATTTATATACATGTGTGGAATTGATTAGATATTTGAATAAAAATCATTATGGGATAATGTACATTCAGAAATAATAATATGAGTGTTATTGATCAATTACAATTAGATGGGAAATAAGACGAGTGTTCTTATAATAAAATAAATAAATAAGTAACTTGTTAGAATGTTATAATGTGTGTGAATTGAAACAGAATTTTAAGATTATTTATTATCCTCCTCCGATTTGACTGACTGGTGGTAATAATATCTTCCATACGTATCTCTGGTATTTGCGTTGAGTCATTTCTGTTGCGTGTGTTGGGTGTAGACTCGATGAACCAGGCAGGATTCAGTAATCAATTTCTCTATCTCCACCTACATAGATTACTTCTTAGAATCTTAACCCTCTCCCACCCTATTGTGTACTTGTGTGTTAATGCATGCAGTGCGATCGCTGAGCTTTTTTCTAAATTACTTATCTTCTCGGGGTCAACCATTCTTACCTTAGCTAAATTCTTATGTTCTGACAATCTGACTACCCCTGACCTACTAGTTTGACCGATGTAGTTGACCTCACAGTCATTGCAGGGTATTTTGTTAGTTGTATTATTTTGTTTAATTGGGTCCACCAGGTCTTTTAGCCTACAGAGTTGTGTGAGTAACTTGATATGATTATGAGCAGCAATAAAATTGTGCTCGAAACGTGGTCATCGGTAAATATTATTACTGTACAACACTGTATGATTAATCAAAATGAAATCTTATCCATAATGGAGTTATACTCTACCACAGTGCCCAAGTTTTATACTTATGTAAATGTTTACATATAAACCCTTTTATAAGGCTTTCATCGATTTTCTCCCCTTTTTCTGTTCGTATCGTTGTTGTTGTTGCTGCTGTCGCTGTTTGTTCGGATGTATGAACACAGATTCAGGATTGTTTAAATCATACTACGAAATGTCTTGAAATTATACAATCAGCAAAAAACACTTCAAGCTTGAATGATATTTTACAAAGTCGTACAGTAAGTTCCTTATGTGTAACAATAATGTGATAATAATCATTTAACTCGTAACTTTTATATGTTTCTCCTATAAATGATCTAGTTTTGGCCGCATCGACTCCTAAAGGCAGATTGCTGACGAAACTTCAGCACGGATACTGAAGGCTGATGTGTCGTTTGCCAAATTACGCCATCTCTGACTTAGCAGACGTGATATTCAGCTGACTATTGATCAAAGGACGTGTGTATTGCTCAATATTTCTCTCTGCCCTCCTTTACGTCTGTGAGACGTGGTCATTGAAAGTGGAAGACGTGAAAAACCTGACTAGCTATCTTTGATCATAGATGTCTGTCTTTTATCTCCTGTGTTTTGCGATAGGTATAAGAGGGTGAGTAATACTGAGGTTAGGCTTCGGTGAAGTGCTAGGTAAAGAGAGAAAATCGATCGATAAGGTTATGAAGGTGAATAGATTGAGATAACCAGGAGATGTGTTACACACGCATGCCTAGCCATCGCCTTCCTTGGCAACAGGTAATGTTAGCTGACAACATAGTATCAGGTTAGAAAAGAGCCATTGATTATCAAACAAAACATGGTTTCATCAGCCGATGAAATCTACAACAGTAAGTTCGAACCAGCCACGTAGGGGGTTGTAGACTGCCTGACTGTTTGGGGTCTTTGGGATACTAAGAGCCAATGAAGACTGGAGACAATTAGTCATATGGCCCAAAATCTTCTTTGTCAATGGTTGGCGCAGATGCATTCCTTCACTGTTTGTGATTTTTCATATCCAACAAAACCCTATTGTTTTTCCATGTTACCATTCGTTCGTCCTCACATTTTTGCTTGCTACCCTTCCACCGAAGCTTCTTTTCTCTTTTGGATTCCTTTGTGTGCTCCATGGAGTGTGGCATTTCGAACTGCTGCACTTTTGTGCATTACGGCTGAGGGAGATAGAGTCTTCAAATTCTCTTATAGCATATGTCAGACAAGTCTTATTCACTGCCTTTACGCCATCGTTGGGAGTGTTCATCACATAAGTGAAAAGGCGGATGCGAACGTTTAGGCGCCTACTTATGGACTGGTGGGTATGCAGGTTTACCTAGGAGAGCTGAAAAACACTGATTTCAGAATTTGTTAGGATGAAATAGTGTATAAACCTGCTTCGGTTATTGAGAACCGTGGGGACGTAGCTCCTGATGCTGCTCTGCTCTCATATGGATCAAACTTGAAGTCAAAGGCCCGGTGGGCCGCTCCTTACAATAACCACTTGCTTCGGTCTGAGGGTCTGAGCAGTATCTCAGCCTTCGCACCAACTATGAGATTTCTTGTGTCGAATCTCTTGCTGCTTATAATGCACCAAGTTTCGTTTAATAATAATAATGTTATCGGTTTTGGTTTGATTGATAAGTCTTCGCTAAGAATTCAGTATAAAGATGCGAGTGACTAACTCATAGACGACTCTCTCCAATGGATGCCTCTAGTGTGATGAAGTGTGCTTTGAGAATTCGCTATGTGGATGAAATAGTTATCCTCTCCTTGTGACTTTCACAATGTAACTGATTGTTCCCCATAAGCCATAGTGCATCTTTCAAGTTGCTCTGCTTCGATAAGTTACAGAGACATTGGGAAACCTGGGAGTATTGGACAGCTGTTTCGTCAACCTTGTTTGAAACTCTGCATCAGTACGCATTCATAGGGATTCAAACCGCAGGACCTTCTGGTTATAAGGCGAGCTCGTACACCACTAAGCCACTGTGACCTGATCCAATGAAAAGTCCATGAATTCTAACATTTACTAATTCACGACATAGCGTGACCGCCAGCTAGTGTCTTCAGCGAGTATTTTTCTTCACAACCAACCTGCTGTACTCTACTGGGCACGACTTGTTCTTGCTTGTCTCGCGGTAGGTTCGGTTTCAATTATCTGCCAAGACACCCGGAAACTGCGTTACCCACCTAGTAAAGGCGACAACATCGCTAGTGACACTTCAAAATAGCTTGAAGCATCATGTTCCGCTAGATAGGAATGTCAGAAATGAATCTTAGTACAATACTAACAATCTAGCGTCTGAGGTCAAATTTATAGTTTAACTGCAGATAATGTATCTGCAAAAACTTTATCCGCTTCTGAAATACAGAAATATATTACAGTGAAATAAAAGTAATAATTACATAAAGTATTAATTACAATAATAATAATTACAGCTGTCTGTTAAACAAAGACAGAAACACGCTGAACAGTATTAATGTCGTGTGAATTCAAATTTTCATTAATGAGTGTCACACATTCACGGGTACATAAGGTGACAGCTACAGTTGACAAGGTATTTGATTGACATCTGATGTGTATGTGTGTGTGTGTGTTGGTTTCCAGAGATTTGATTGATTACAGGTTTGTGTTATCATGAGTTGACATCAGACAGAGAACCACTGGAAAACCAATTAGATAGTACAGCTTTTTCATCCTAGTTCAGCATTCTTGAACAGTACTCAGCCATTGGAGTCTACCAAGTCTGAGGTAGAAGGTTAGTTACTCGCGTTATGACACTAGCTAGCGGTTGCGCTATGCAGATTTTGCGAATTGTGGCAGAAGTTGGAGTTCATGGCCTGGCCATTGAATTGGGTACCAGTGGCTGAATTTCCTACAAATTCGCCATGTAGCCGAAAGGTCCTGAGTTGGAACTCCGGTGGCTGCGTACTGCCAGAGTCCCTCTATTACATTATTATTAATTTTTCTTTCCGTTACGGGTGGAACATACGGCTTCATCAACACATCTTCACTTTGTTCTGTTTTCTGCCAAACTCTTCAGCTGGGTCCACGATTGACCAAACTCTCTCATCTCCTCCTCACACGATCTCCTCCATGTCACCTTCACACTTACGACTCACTCGTCTCTTCCCATTGGGATTCCACTTGAGTGATGGCCTAGATTGCGTGCGGTGTCATTCGGCGGCCTCCTCAATGTATACCCGATCCATCTCCACTTTCTCCTACATATTCGTTAAGCGATCGGCTCTCGGTTGGTTTGTTCCACTGCAGAGTTTCTTGTTACTTATTCTTTCTGGTCATTTGATCTTCAGGATGGAGCCAACGAAGGGAGCAGCTGTTGATGAAAGTCTGCCAGAGTCCCTTACTAGTACGAAACCGCTGTCCCAATACTAAACTGTTGCAATTTTTAAAAAAATTCTATAACTGTTATAAAGATGAAGAACGTTGAAAATTACTCACTCAAATGTTGCGTTTAGTGGTATTATGTGGTGTATAGTATTACGTGTGAGCTATAGGATGCTGAACAAAGAAGGAAAGTGAGAAATCTGAACCGTAATATACCCCTAATTGAACGAGCGGCTTATTGACCTTGAACCGGCCAATCATGTTGAAAGACGGATTAATGTTATCCTCAATTATGCATTACACACTTCTATTGAATTGCGTTTTCTTATTGTCTTGTTGACATCTATAAAATGAGCACTAATCACTTTGTTTGTTTCCGTCCCCCCCTTTCGCCACCTCCGCCACTTTCTATTTCAGTTTCTGTATGAATTATTTTATTATATTCGTGATGCTAAAGACTGTTTAACTCAACCACCGCGGAAAACTATTGAAGAGCATTTGGCTAATCCAAGTCGAGTAAGTTGTGTGTGTGTGTGAATTGTTTAGTTTTAAATTAATATAGCTGGATAGTGTTGTTATTAGAATAAAGTATAACTATATGTTTCAATAGTTTACACACAATGATAAGTTTTGTTTCTTTTTGGTAATATTTCGAGCAAAATTACTGCCCGTGTTCACACCATTGTTGGAATTGTTTTGTTTTTTTAATTCACACATTTATGATATGTACTCATATATATAGTTCACTTTTTCGTTCATTCATTGGTGGATGTTGACTAGCAGTGAAATCCACCACGATGCACATCTCCTCCTATTTGGGACTCGTCAACTAGCTAAGATGTACCTTCATTCTGCAGTGAATGATGATTTTCCCATCGAGGCCCATAATTTCAAACGCCAAAGTATCCTGGATTCCACTGCTAGTCACCATCCACCAATTAAATTCTAATTAAATGCCCAGACATCGTCGAAGCATCTGCACAAGAAGCCGACAGACATGTCAACCTGAAACCGAGCACTTTAGTCGCCTCAATCGACGGGAAAATCTAAAATTGAATTAAATAATTAATATGACCCATTGCACAAGAGGTGGCCAGCTCTCGTGGCCCAAGTGGTCTAGTGGATAACGCTTTGTTGTTTGAAACTATGGTCACTGGGTTCGAGTCTCGGTGGGAACATCATCAAGAGTAATTAATACTATGTTTGGTTATACATAAAATCAGATAAGGATTACCAGGATGGATAGATTAAGTGTGTTTACAAATTGTTTTTGTACATAGAGGGGGCGAGGGCTCTTAGGTTTATGGAAATAGCTGTTGCCTCAGCGTATTTCAATAAGCGCCCTTGACTGTTTTTAAAAATAACCTTAAAAGCTGTTTTGACATCAGTCTTGTGGTTCATGTCGATTAGATGTTAGTGTAATGGCAGAAGACGAGGGCCAGGAAACAGATCGTTTATTGAGAAAATCAATAGATATTTATAGATTTTTATGTATATAATTCCTAACAGAAGAGCAACATCTTCTGATTGGTTGTTTTCTAGCTGAAGGTTATTCTGTACTGCTTGTAACCGTTTCTTAGAAAGTTGAGCCATATATCTGCAAATCGTATTTGCACACGTTAAGTCTTCTGTGATGAGTTGTTGAGTTCCTCAAAGTTAAGCTCTGTTCTTGTTTTTTCTCATGACCCCGATTCGGAATGTAAACATTGACGTGAATTGTTGTCGAAAATTTTGTCTTGCAGACAGCTCTCACCACATTAGTAGTCTTCCACCTGCGTCTATCAATTTTCAAAGTTCATCTGTTTTTATAACCTCTCCGGAATACGTTCTCTCACCCTCATATGCAAACTGTGATTACTCCTCCCTATGTATGGCTATCCACACACTCACACTTACGTAAAGTGATATTTAGTGTGGGATGTAACATAATCACTTGTGCACTTTTGAGGTTTATAGTGGAGCATACTTGTTGGCTTTCTCAATAATTTAATAGTGTGAAAATATTACCATACCATGAATTAAAAGTCAATCTGAACAAAGAATATTCTTTTCAGTAAGTTCACCTTTTTAGGTCCTTACAATTATAAAATATAATATATTTGTTGTCGTCACAATAATGATAACCAGTTATGCGGTAGATACATTTTTTGCGTTGAAAATAAATAGTCGAATTTGTATGACCAACTAGGCTGAAGTCGACTACAAATTTTGTAAAATGGGAGACAGTGGTGGTGATTAGTCATAATAGATTCGTAGAATGTGGCGTAGGAAAACTGAAAAGTCAGTTCAAGGTTATAAAAGGTGTCATTTGAGTGAGTACCTAGTACAAAGTAGTGTGTATTAAAGATGAGGAGATAGTAAGACTGTAATGAGAAGAGTTTAATCTCTTTCTCAAAATCCCACTATTTACTTCCCCATTATTGTATCCTAATTTAATGAAAACATCTTTCTTAGGGGCGGAATAGATTGTACATTTTAAAACTAGCTGACTCCTATACTGGCTTAAACAATATCAGTTTTCAGCAAGAGTACCCATCAGTATTTTATTTTCGTTCTCTATAACATCAGCTGTACAAATGCGCTGAATTCTCTTCAATAAAAATTTCACCAATCCTCTTTTATACTGTAGTAGATAGAAGCTGTGAAAAATAAAATATTGCCGTGTCCAAGGAGACTTTCTATAAATTCATTGCTTTATTGAACCATCGTCTCTCCTACTGAGAAATTTCTCTAAAATTCCAAGCTGGTTGTGGTGTGACTTTCTTTCTCGCATGTAAGAGTAGACGACTCGCATCTTCATGATCATCACGTGTCAAAATAATGTCATCAATCGATCAGACTATTTTTTAACTCTTAACCTATCTACCTACCTTGGCAATCCTTATCTGATTTTAAGTATAACCAAACGTTGTGTTAATTATTCTTATAACCCTTAAATCTTTTTTGTCGAGTTGTTCGTCCAATGGTGACATGGAGGAGGTCATGTGAAGAGATGAAAGCATGTGGGCAGACGTGGAGCCAGGTGAAAGCGTTGGCGTATAACCGACCGAACTCAATGGATACGTGCGACTGAAGCCCTATGTTCCTCTAGGAACTAAAGGAAACAATAATAATAATATCAATAATTCTTAAATTCTTTTTGTCACTTTCTGCATTTTAATTGGCCTTTCCATATTAGTTTGTTTATTAGATATGTCACGCAGTGAAACAGTATTATTTACTGGATGACACAGTTTCGAACAAAATTTATTGTTCATAATCATATCAGTTGTAATCACACGACTTTGAAACTTGAGTTTTATAGTTTTCTTTGTTTTCTCCTATTTGTCGCATGGGTAGTAGAATTTTCCAGATATCGGGGACAGGTGATGAATCATTCCTATTACATGTATTTGTATTTGATTCGATAAACAAAGCTTCTGTTATCAATCTCTCCCTATACCCTGTGACATTAGATTTCAAAACTGTCACCTTATCCCACCCGTCCTATTGTATGGTGGTGTGTGACTGCATGTAGTGCTATAGCTGAACTATTCTCTGGATTTCGTATCTTATTCGGATCAACTAATCTAGATTTCGCTGCTAGGTTTCTTATGCTCGGCTAGTCTGACTGCCCCTGTTCTACTAGTTTGACCTATGTATTTGACCTGACAATCATTGCAGGGTATGTTTTAGAGGCTCCTGTAGAGCCAGTGACAGTTTTAAAATCTAATGTCACAGGGTTAATGGAGGGAGAGATTGATAACAGAAGCTCTGTTTATCGAATCAACTGCAAATACGTGTAATAGGAATGATTCATCACCTGTCCCCGATATCTGGAAAATTCTACTACCCATACGACAAATAGGAGAAAACAAAGAAAACTATAAAACTCAAGTGTCAAAGTCGTGTGATCACAATTGATATGATTATGAACAATAAATTTTGTTCGAAACTGTGTCATCCAGTAAATAATACTGTTTCACTATGTGACATATCTAATAAACAAACTAATATGGATACAAGTGTAAAACTTGGGCACTGTGGTAGAGTATAACTCCATAATGGATAGGATTTTATTTTAATAAATCACACAGTGTTGTACAGTTAAATTAACTGATGACTTTTCGAACACAAACTATTGCTCATAATCATATCAAGTTACTCACACAACTTCTTTCCTTCATTTATATACATGAGTGGAATCGATTAGATATTGGAATAAAATTCAATATGAGATAATGTACATTCAGAAATAATAGTACGAGTGTTATTAATCCATCACAATTAGATGGGAAATACCACGAGTGTTTTTATAGTCATAATTCTGAATGTACATTATCTCATATTGAATTTTATTCCAATATCTAATCGATTCCACTCATGTATATAAATGAAGGAAAGAAGTTGTGTGAGTAACTTGATATGATTATGAGCAATAGTTTGTGTTCGAAAAGTCATCAGTTAATTTAACTGTACAACACTGTGTGATTTATTAAAATAAAATCCTATCCATTATGGAGTTAAAATAATATGGAATTAGAACAAGACATATAAGCGAACAATATTGTTTTCAATTAGATCTTCTTCAGGCATTACTCTAATTTACATAGATTTATATATAAAATTTTAACCAATGACGGTGATTTTGGGAATCAAATAATAATCTTAATAGTCTTAATAATAATAATGTGGTAAATGTTTTGAACGTAGTTAATAACGATGATTATAATGATAACAAAATATTGATAATAAGGTTTATGCAGGTGATAAGAATAACAAAGATAGTATATGTAATATGGAATTACCTACTGCCACAGTGCCCAAGTTTTACACATATATTATTAATTGGCCTTTATTATTTTCAATATATGTGTAAAACTTGGGTACTGTGGTAGTAAGTAATTCCATATTAGTTTGTTTACAAACTAAACAAACTAATATGGAACTTTATTATTTTCCATGATATAAATTGACTTAACAAGCACAAATAAATGTGTCAGGGATCAAATTGTGTTTCGAAATGTATTGGGCAAAAATACATCACATCAAGTTTTTCAGATAATCTCCGGCTTCTAATGACAACAAATTTATAAAAGCGATTGATTGTTTCAGATGAAATCCCTTTCCGTTTTGTAGAAATGCTTTCATCCGCCTATTCCAAAAGATATTGTCTTAAGTATGTTTATACGTGGTTCATCGTTGGTGTTTGCCGCCTACAACTTGGTCTACAACAGTATGGAGAAACGTTGGGAGGTGTTAAACCGTTCAAGTGTAGGTTGATGATTTTACTTTTAAATTATATTCTACTCTCATTATGGAAATTTATACGACATAATTTAAGCGAACAGATAGGTATTATTGATAAAAGCGAGAAACTTGGGCACTGTAGTATTGTATAACCCCATTATAGATAAGATTTTGTTTTGATAAATCACACAGTGTGTTATAAAGTAATCTTAATTGATGACCACGTTTTGAGCACAGTTTATTGCTACTGATAATCATATCAAAGCACTCACTCACAAAATTTCCTTGCTTCACTTATTTACATGAGTAAACACTGATGATTAGACATTTGAATAAAAATCAATATAGGATAGTGTATATTCAGAAATAATAATATGAGCGTTATTAATCAAATTCAATCAGATGGGAAATAAGACGAGTGTTTTTTATAGTCATAATAAGTAACTTGTTAGAATGTTATTATGTATGCGAATTGAATTGAAATAGAATTTTAAGATTATTTATTATCCTCCTCTGATCTGACTGACTGACTGCTGGTAATAATATCTACCATATTTCTGGTATTTGCATTGAGTCATTTCTGTTGCATGTGTTGTGTTGGGTGTGTAAACTCGATGAACCAGGCAGGATTCAGTAATAATAATAATAATAATAATAATAATAATAATAATAATAATAATTTGCTTTATTCCAAAACAGTACTTGTGATACAGAATGGAATTCTCAGCATTTTTACTACAGTATTGCATCCAGTTAGTACATTGTCAATAAATAGAATTCTACATAGATTGAGGAAACCACAGTTCATTATTACAACAATACATTGGCATGTTCAGTAGCAAAGGTAAAGCTGAAACAGTGTTTGAAGGTGTTAGAAAAGTGGGAGCTGTCTTATTAACTGGCGTAAGCGAAAGAAAGAGACAAAGCAGCACATAACGGAAAAAGAAGAGAGAGAAAAGGAACAGAAAGAAAGGAAATGTTGAACCTATTGATGAAGTGGGTTGGAAAGATGAGATCCAGTTGTACTAATGACTATTTAATGAATTATAGGTGTCACGCCTAATGCTTTCTTTATCACACAGAACGCGAGCTAAGTAGGGTATGGTTGAGTTTTTGTACTTGCTGGTGCGAGCATATAGTTTTCTATATTGGCTTCTTGTTTTACCTGATGAGATGCAAGGGGAGAGCAATCTCTCTTTATCTCGACCTACATAGATCACTTCTTTGAATTTTGACTGTGTTCCCCCTATTGTGTGGTTGTGTTTTAATGCATGCAGTGCAGTGTAGTGCTGAGCTTTTTTCTAAATTACTCATCTTCTCGGGGCCAACCATTCTTACCTTAGCTAAATTCTTATGTTCCGACAATCTGATTACTCCCGATCTACTAGTTTGATCTATATAGTTGACCTCACAGTCATTGCAGGGTATTTTTTAAATTATATTATTTTGTCTAACTGGGTCCACCGGGTCTTTTAGTCTGCTCGAAACGTCATCGGTTGATATTACTGTACAAAACTGTGTGATCTATCAAAATAAAATCTTATCTATAATGGAGTAGATACGTAATTTCGGTAAATTTTCATCAGTCTTTACAGTGTTTTTTATTCCTTCACGTTCCCAGTGGAACATAGGGCACCTTCAAGCTAGAAGCTAGAAGTTTCTGTAGCAGTGTTTATTTTTACAGGATGGAGTTGCCAGCCTCATGCCCAACTTTTCCCCTTTACTAGCTTTATTACTGGCCCAGCGAGGTAAAGGATTGAATCGACCGGGGATGGAACCCCGAACCATGTGCATGGTCGGCGAGCGTCCTAACCACTGTGCCACCGACGCACGTCTTTACCGTTACATAATAAAATCCGACTTTGTCAACTCCATTAAAAATCTCAATTTGAACAAAGAAGGAAGAAATATTGGCGTAGAATAATCTGGATCCGTTATATATATATATATATATATATATATATATATATATATATATATATATAGTCTGTGACGTTATAGAGTATGTGAATTGGCAGAAGCTGGAATTCATGGACTGACCATTGGATTGGGTCCCAGTGGCTATATGGCCTACGAGTTCTCCTCGTAACCGGAAGTTTGCAACCTGGCATTCATTAACTGTAAGTTATGAACACTTAAACCAATGAGTCGTGTATCTCTCTTTACCCTACCTACTCATCATACGTGGATGACTCATCTGTGTTTCATAAATATTCATGTCTATAACTATATGCATCTACTTATTGCTTCTCATTTGCGTGCTTGCCGTTTTTTTACTTTTTTATTTCACAGATTGAATGTGTCATCCCTCGATTACAAGAAATTTTATCTCAGTTAAATGCAGCAATGAATACACTAATGTATTTAATGAATAAACAATTTATTCTGTAGTTTTTCTTTGTTTTCTGTTTTTCTTTCGTTGTTGCTGTTGTTGTTGTTGCTCAGACTACATTTTTATTTATGGATGAGTGTTGTTGCTGACTAACTTTCAATTTACACCCTTTTCGACATTTTCACTTGTCCACGGACGTTTCAGAATCAACCTAGCCACTATAATCATTCCACCCTATAAAGAGAATTAGTTGTGAACAGTGATGGTGGATTTTGATGACTTCTTTTTTTGTCTTTTTCTTTGATTACCATACTGTGATATCTTATTATTCTCGCTGTTGTTGTTCCTCTTGGTGTTCCCCTTCCCTCCTTCCTTCCTGTCGCCTGCCTCTTCTCAAAAAAGCATAATAATAATAATATCAGTAGTTTTAAGAGTAGGTAATTAGGATTTTTATTGATCACTGATTTGGCCTATTTACTTGTATTTGTATTTTAACGTATCAATATTTCTTATTTTATTTCTTTGCATGTATTTCAAAAAGTTTTAGTTGATAATTTTAGCTGAAGAACTTTATATTTTACTCTATTATTATTATTACTATTATTAATTATTTATAATATACATATATGTGCGCATTCAATGTACAATTGTTTCAGTTGGCGGTTTGTCTCTATTCGTATTTATATTCCCCCCCACACACACATACACACGCGCACATTTTGATTTAAATGCATACAACGTCGTTGTTGTTCTTCTTGGTGTTGTTTTATGTCTCCAAAAGTCTACCGTTTACCGGTTTGTAATTCGACATATTGGCAGTAGAAATGATTGAATTGGTGCCAATTTGTCCATAGGCTAAAAGGTAGTAAGATTAAAGGAAGCAATAAATAGAGACTATATCAAAGATAGATTTAATTATTTACAAAGGAAACAAAGTATCCTCTTCGCTACAGTTGTACAACTGGTAACGTGTAGATGTTTATTGGATTCACACCTGCTTCTGTGAAGTTGACTGTTTTTGGCTACCTGTTTTTGCGTGTCCTTTCTAAATGAGTTAGAGAACACTAATCACTGTCGTCTGGGGTTCGATCCCTAGCTGACTGACTCCTTAACCTCGCTTAGTCATCAGTTAGTCAGGTTAAGAGGGAAACTTCTAAGCTGCTTCCTAGCTTGTAACCCTATGTTCCACTCGGAACGTAAAGGAGTCCTAACCACTGTGCCACCGACGCACAGTGGTTAGGACTCTCGCCGACCATGCACATGGTCCGGGGTTCGATCCCCTGCCGACGCACACCCGATATCCATGGTCGGCCTGCAAAATTTGGGCTACCGATATCCATGCTGAAAATGCCATACTTGTACTGAAAATACGGTGTGGCATCAAGCTGTAACCAAAATAAAAAATAAATAATTACTCACTACTCTGTTTGGTCGAAAGAGAAGTGGAATAATTCAATATTTGGTGTAATATCTCAATCGTGTCATTATTTAAGGTTATTTAGAGAGTGAATATAAAATTTTACACAACATAGTCTTCTTTGCACTACAGAAATCCTCTTTAATATGTCTACATAAATTGGATATATGATTACGATAAAGGTGACTAATTCAACCTTTTTATCTACTATGGATTTAATTTTCCAAAAAACTGATTACTCAACAAAGAATATTTACATTTTCGATAACCTGCTCTTCATCAGGTTCTACAGTTATAAATCCATCCATATTAATGAAATAATTAGGGTTATCAACAAAAATAATGTAACAGGATTTCATCATGAGCTAACATCGGTTATACAACCACCCACCCACCGGGGTTGGGACCGAGGACCTACTGGTTAAAAGACGAGCAAGCTCGTATGCCATTCAAACACTGGGACCCGATCCAATGGCCCATGGATTCCAACTCCTGTTACATATTTTTCGGATATGTACCTTAAATTTTGATTCATATGTAAATGCTGAAAGCACAGGGGGTAGAATTGCAAATTCAGTACGGCTTGAACGTTTTTGTTGTTGTTCCCTTGGGTTCCTAGTGGAACATAGGGCTTCAACTGCACGTCTCCACTTGCTTCTATCTTCTGCTGTACTTTTCACCTGCATCCATGTTAGTCCATACTGTTTCAACTCCTCTTCACACGATCTCCTCCATGTCACCCTTGCACTGACGTCCAACTCGCCGCTTCCCTTTCGGGTTCCACTCGAGGGCCTGACGTGCCATGTCACCCAGTGGCCTCAGCGAGTGTCCAATCCATCTCCACTTTCTCCTGCATATTATTTGTTGGACGATTGGCTCTTGTTTTGTTTGTTCCCCTAGTCTCTTGTTGGTGTTTCTTTCCGGCCATCTGATCTTCAGTATAGAACGAAGACAGCTGTTGATAAAGGTCTGCAACAGGCTGTTGGAAATGTTCTTTATGACCCGCCAAGTTTCTGATCCGTATAGAAGAACTGACTGACTTGACGTTTGTATTGAAAATCCGAATTTTGTTGTTGATGTTGAGTGACGAAGATTTCCAGATTGGTTTCAGGTTGATGAATGAATGTGTTTCTCGCCTTCCCGATTCTCGATTTGACATCCTCGTCCGTTCCTCCTGTAGTTGAGACAATACTCCCTAGATAAGTGAAAGAAGTAACCTCTTTCAAATCCCTCCCGTTGATGGTGATTGGCGCTGGATGTTGCTGCTTGAACTTACAACTGACTTTTATTTAGCCTGTAACTCTTTGCAAACTTAAATCACACTTTGATGGGAAACCAGTTAGTAACAAGTATAATGTTTCTAATCCATCGTTTGATACAGACTGAGTTCTATCAATCCAGTAGTTTGCAATGTGGCTACCATGCCACTAGGTGACTCGACATCACCGTGCACTTTGAAATGTCGATATGAAATGGTTGGAGGTAATCGGCAGGAAGACTTGGACCACCTAGGTTTCGTGCTAGTTGGCAATCACCAGTCAGAAAGGCCTATCTGCAATCACCTTGAAGGAACTCATGCCCTTTCTGATATTCGAACTCGCGTTACACAGTGCTGCAGTCAGAGCTGTTCGGACTCACCATTGACCTGTGGGACTGACTGTATGGGATACCTTGATTGGGCATTAGTCAGAAACTGGTGTAATGTGTCTAGTCCTTGGTGCTGGTGCAGAATGAATTCTATCGGTCACACTGTTTAGTACATTATAGTTAATAACAAGACTAGGTTTGCTTCATTGTCCAACACACTTAAAAATATACATTTAGTCGCTTTAACTAACTTTTCATAATGTCTCATCGATTGAAGTGACACCTAAATCGGAAGCAGCGGGTTGCACGACATGGAGAAAATTATTTGCTCAGAAATTTAAAGTTTGTGTACAGTCGTAGAGTCAGCTGAATGTGTGATGGCACAGAAAGGACTGTGATGAAGTTATGCGGCTGAAGCCCTATGTTCCATTCAATGAATGAATGAATTATAACTCCATGAAATATTGAGTGATAGTAGTACAGTTATGTATTGACTTTTAAAGATAACGATTGCGTCATAGTTTCGAATTCTACTTGTAATGAAATACAATTTCCAAGAGTTGGTTTGTAAAGGATTAAATTTGTTTTTACGAGTTTGACCACCGATTGATATCAGTTAGAGAACCATTGAAAACAAACAGGGAGTACTGGACAGCTGTTACATCCCACTAGTTTGGAAATCATCGACAGTACGCACCCACCGCCAGCTTTCGAATCTAGGACCTTCCGGTTACAATACAAGCCGCTGGTACCCGATTCAATGGTCAGACCATGAATTCTAATTTCTACCAATTCGTGAATTAGCGCGACCACCAACCCATTTAATCGAGTCCCAGTGGCTGAATGGTATACGAGCTAGCTTGTAACCGTAAGGTCCTGGGTTCGAACCCCAGTGGGTGAGTACTGTCGATGATTCCAAGACTAGAATGCAACAGCTTTCCAGTACTCCCTTGCTTTTAATAGTTCTCTAACTGATATCAATCCGTGGTCAAACTCGTAAAAATAAAATACAACTGTATTGTGAATTAAGAAGTTATGAGAAAAGTATTTGAATTCAATACAGCATATCTTACATACTTACCGATTGATATTCATCTGAAATGTATACATTGTTCATGCTTTCATTTATTGTACTGTCTGTATCTAATTCTTCACTGTGTGAAATAAAAAATAGACTTAGTGAATGCATTGTATTCACCTTAATATATATATATATATATATACCACTCTACGTTCTCAGTGGAACATAGGACTTCAAGCTAGAACTTGGAAGTTTCAGTAGAAGTAATGTTTACTTTTATGGGGTGGGGTTGATAGCCTCATGCCCAACCAACCTTCCCTCTTTACCAGTCTTATTACTGACTTAGCGAGGTACAGGAGTGCGTCTGTCGGCCGGGGATCGAACCCGAGACCACATGCGTGGTCCGCGAGTATTCTACCGCTGTGCTACCGACGCACTCTCTACTTCAATAACACAGTGTATTGAATAAGAAATTTAGCATGATACCACAATGGTAAATAAATAATAAATTCAAAAAACCAGTGAAGATCTACAATTTGATTAGCATTCACTGTTTTAGTGATATAATGGTTACATGAAGAGCTCTTACACGAGCACATTGGCTGGTTGGAATATTTTTCTTTTCAATAGCTATTCACTTATCTCAATTTGGTAAAACTTATGGCTTTTAAATTTGAAATTGTTTTCTAGTACTTTAAGGCACTTATCTAACACCAAACACCGGATGAAGTCGCCTGGAGTTCTAGTGTGGGACGTCATGACCAGTAACGTCCATCCATCCTGTCAGGAGTGAGGACAAATACTCACCACGGATGACACTGGCTGGTGCTCTGACTAAAGTCATGAATTGGTAGAAATTAGAATACATGAACTGTTGAGTCGCGTCCCAGTGGCTGAATGGTCTACACGTTTACCTTGTAACTGGAAGGGCCTGAATTCGAACCCAAGCGGTGAGTGCGTATTGATGGTTAGTCCCACAAACTAGGACGAAACAGATATGTGACAGTATTCCCTGTTGGTTTTCCAGTGGTTCTCTGACTGCTATCAATCCGTGGTCAGGTTTGAAACAAATCAAACCCTTACAAACAAACTCTTAAAAATGGTTTGGTTGGGAAAATAGCTTAACTTTGAACCGATTAATGAATTTTATAATTATTGTTCAATACATTGGAGAAAGAAAAGGGTCAAAGCAAAACAATCTTTAAATTTCTATTCTGATTTGTAGGGAATTTCAGATCCTTAACAATAATGATAGATTTAACAACTGTCTTCTCTTCTAATAAAGTGATAAACTTGAAAATACAACTAATATTCCCACTTCCATGACAAATTCTGTGCGTTGGTGGTTCAGCGATTGAACGCCCACCAGCCATGCATGTGGTCTGGAGTTTGATCCCTAACCGATGCACTCCTAAACATTGCTGTCCTCTTAAGTAAGGCCAGGAAAGAGCGAAGGTGGGACATGACACTAACAACCATTCCCCTACATGAAAAATCGAAAACACCATTGTTACCGAAATTCCAAAACTCTAGCTTGCAGCCTTATGTTTCATTTGGTAAATAAAGGAATAAAATAATTATAAATAATATATATACTCCTCACCTTACTATTTCCATTAAGGAAGCTACCATGTACGGATTTATTACAGCAAGTATTGCATATTGACCTGGTTCTTTCAGCTGTAATTTTGGCGAAAAAGAGACATTAATAATATAAGAATTTGACGTCTTTAAAGTATTGCAATGACTACAAACATGATACAACTAGTGATTTAAAAAAGACACATTTCAAAGAAGGTAAAATATAGCCATAATTGTTTTTTGGAGGTTAATTGGTGGATGATGACTAGCAGTGGAATCCACCAGGATGCGCATTTCGTCCTATTTGGGACTCGTCAACTAGCTGGATGCACCTGTGAGTGATGATGTTTCCACCAAGGCTCGAAATGCGCATCCTGGATCCCACTACTAGTCAGTCACCATCCACCATTCAACTTCTAATTACACGCCCGGATATCGTCGAAGCATCTGCAGAGGAAGCCAACAGATATGTCAACCGGAGACCAACCACTTCGGTCCAATCAATCGATGGGAAAATCTAAATTTGAATGAAATAATTGGGTTTTTTTCAAAAAAAAGGGTTATGATATATTATACTCTCAGATATGAAATATTCCCATATTGAGTCATAAGGATAAAGGCGTAAACAGCGAAGAAAATTTTCTCTTCGACGATCCCTTTTTCTTAAGCTGCTGTACAATCGTAATTATATTTAGACAAATAAATCATAAGACCAAGCAGATACTGGTAAAATTTGTCCTCCAAAAATGTATTACTCAGTGTAAGGTGTAACCTAGAGAGGATGAATCATTGGAAATTGAGAAAGGAGGCAGAAGTTGGCATGACGTAATAAGTGGGAGATAATGACTAATCAATAAGATTGTGACAAGTGGATAGGAATTAGTGGAAAGATGATAAAGTGTTTTTATATAAAATCTGTACAAAAACGCAATGTGATTAATAAACAGTAGTAGAGTGATAATAAAATATGGGTGATGTGAATAACAACAATAAAAGGAAGCAAAATTATAGTAAGAACGTTACTATGACCACGGTAGGGCGAGTGAATGTATGCAGCGCTTTTGAATGCAGAGGTCCGGTTTCAGATCCTGAATAGCTAATAATTCATCTATGTACAGATGTCATATGTGAAATCCTTTTTTAATATATTGAGGGACCATGTGTAGCACTGTGAAGCATTCATGCGCTGGGTGCTTGATATCCAAATTTGATAAGGTGTTCGAGGATGGAGCTGCTGCCATTCTTCTTTTCTCCTCTGGATAACCAAGCTGGACAATGTTCCAGAATACTTATGTGGACTTGACGCTGAGTAGAACCGATACACATTGCTCCACACGAGCAAGTAAACTGATAAATACACACTGAAGTGGTCAAAAGTGGTATCATATCCTTAACGTTAGACTGAATAAATTGCCTGTTGGAGAATGTGATATGGGAGGTGGCTGCTTGAAATGTCTTTCTTAGATATTTAGAAAGGCGGTTTCTGAGAATTTCTGCTTTGATGTTACATTTGAATTCCAGTTTCATGGGGAGAGTTTTCTTCGGAACAGTTATGATTTTCAGTGACAGAGGCTTTTCTTTCATCTTGGTGGATACCCGTTCTCTAGTAAGGTTTCATATAATAAATTTAATTCTCTCTCTATGGTGTCTTCCAAGCGGGATTTCTGCATTCTAAAACAGTACATACATTCACTTGCTCTACCGTGGCCAGAGTAACGTTCTCACTATAATTTTGCTTCTCTTTTTTTAAAATGTAAGTTTATTATTTACCTCTTACATAAACCGGTAGTATTCATACACCAAATCACTTCTAGAGGGTTCGATATTAATTGGGTAAAATAGCCGTGTGGCTATCTGTTAATGTCACTGATTTTGAATACTTTACAATAATCAGTAGTATACGTAGTGTCGGGTTATCACTCTCTTCGTAATATTTCGACATGATCTGAAAGTCATACCAGTGATTTACGTGACGCAAAAGTGATGTCATTCCAAAACAAAATGAATTACTCTTGCTTGATTACTCAATAACATATTGAATCCCATCTATGGTTATTAAAATACATTCACTTTGTTGAGTGTGATACCCTGATGTCGAACTTCTTATATATACATAGACCTATTTTTTTCTAAAATACTACATTAAAGTACTTCTTTTATTCCACCCTTAAACACTCGTGACGTTGGGACCCTATTGGTCGTTGACTGTTTTAACTTATCAATGTAATTAGTGTATATCAAGGTCATTTAACGAATATATATATACATATATATATTCAAGTGGTGTTAGCCTTTTTCGCTGTTGTTTCGAGACAGTTAAAGCTCTCTAAGTCAACAGTCTGTCTTCATGCATCGCTGGTTCGATGGTATCGCATCATATCGCGTTGTTGTTGTTGGTGGTGTTAATAGTGATTAGAACAGTAGGCTCGTAAATCGACTAGGTAGGTAGGAAGTTCGTTAACACAAATTACCAAATGTATTAACGGTCCTAAAAAACTCTGTGTATTTAGGACACATTGATAAGAAGACTGTGATTAGAGGTATGCTATTGTTGCTTATTAGCTGCAACTACGTTTTCCTGTGGTAAAATATATACTCTCTGAATTATTCGAGCAAGAATCAGTCATACTTGGGATTAGGGTATTGAAACATTTTCCGAAGAATAGAGTTTAAATGCTGAATTCTGAAAAATTCCCCCTGCGTGATTAAGTAAAGGACAAAGAAAAATCCAGTCGTAGCGCTATTCTATTTCATCTTGTGGATACAGAGCACAAGATTAATGTCAACGAGGCTGCTTTCAAAGTCATTTACTGCATACCAACAAATCTTAACTTCGCCTTAAGTGTTCGTCTACTACATATTGCTGAGGCCGTTGGGATCCACATTAAGAAGCCTAATTTGTGTCCAACAGAAGTAGCTAGCTCAGACATTGTCCTTACCTTGGCCATCTAGGTTCGAATGATCCCGAATGTTTTTTGTAGAAATTTCCTTAATTTCAATTGATATTCTATTTGCTATTATATTTTTATTATTATTTGAGCATCTTTAATGAACTGTAATTCCATAATGATCTTACTTGACAAATCGATATTATTTAAAAAACACCAATGTTGATATTGACTACTATTCTACAATATTCTATGTATATAAACATGCATATATATATGTATAATTGTAGAGCCAGAAGAGGAAATTATCGAAAAGAATATTCTGTTTTATATGTCTGAATGAATATTTTCGCTATATTTGAATATTGTTTCTTTTTCAGAACTTTATAATTTCTTTATTCATTCGATTCCACCATCCAATCCTACCCAAGAGGAGTTCATCTAACCCTTAGAATATGACAGATAACCTCTTTGATTTCGAATTCAAGTGAGGTAAATTTGAAGCACCGAGGAAAACAGTTAGCATACAAACACTATTTTGATAAGTATGATGCCAGTTAGTTTAGGGAATATTCCCTCAAGGTAATCAGCAATTTTACGATCATCACTTAGTACCAGTTAAACACAAAGAGAATACTAAATGTGTGAGATAGTCCCAGAATTTTAGATCAGGTCAAAGGTCAAATTAAAAACTGACCGGAAATAATTCTGGAACCTTCTCACACATTTAATATAAATACACGAATGGACAGCCTAGTTGTCGAAAAAAAATTCCTTCAGATTTTTATTTAACCTGAGTTCGAACCCCGGTGCGTGCGGACTGATGAAGAGCCCCAAACTAGGACGAAACTACTGTCCAGTACTCCCAGGTTTTCCAGTGGTTCTCTAACCAATGTCAGCTCATGATGAAATCCTGTAACCAATTTTTATTAATTTTCAATTTCACTTTTTAGTTTGCTTTTACTTTAATAATTATTCACTATTATCACTTTCATATGTTTCTTTTCTACATTTTCACACCCTCTCCGCACTTGTTAAATTGACACTCAAATTCCTTTAACTTTATCAAATTTCTGACCTTTTCTTTCTTCATGCTGTTGAGTACTACGTGATTTACAACTTTTATTTTCACCTCTAAAGCCATTTCTGAGTAATTACATCTTATTGTATCTTTCCTACCCAACTTTTCAGATTATTACACATAATTTTTAATTTGACTTTTCACCTGAAATATTTCTAGAATAGTACCACTACCTATCTTCTGCTTATAACACTCAGTAATTTTATTAATATGACCTTTGACAGAGAATACTAAATTTGCCTAACAGTTGCTGTACATATTTATCGATCTTATGATTCATTCATGTTTTTATGAAGCCCGACGGCAATGACTCTCGGCTGTTGAATTAATCTTGAAACCTGTTTCGCCGCTGTGCATTTTAAGTGAAATGATCACATCCCACTGTATTTACCAATTTGAATGTATGTGCGGCCACACATCCATATAAGGAGGATTCATCGATCTCTGCAATTAAGGGTTGGCTTCACAGTATATACCAGAATGGCTTCCGAAGCAAATATAATCTCCAGAATCCATTAATGGTGAGAACAGACAACCTAGCTCCTCTTTTGCAAAAGTCATATAATAGAGACAGGATATAAAATTGATATTTACACGTCTTTTAAACCTATCTATAGAACGCGTTTGCGGGAGGGCGTATCCTAAAGTTTGTGGAAGCCCTGGCTAGCAATTAGGAAGTTTAAACCACCTTTATGCATTCAAAGCAACAATTCGTCATCAAACTAAACCTACCGTCCTTGGTAAACTTTGTTTTGTTTTGATACCAGCCAGGGTAGATGTACTATTTATTACCTCTCTTATTTGGTTTAGTGATTGATCTTCATTGTTATTTTGACCTTCAGTATATCCTTTTATAATGAACCGTATCTATTTTCTCATCTCTTTATAAATTTCACATATATTCCTATGACAATTGCATGTGTGTGTGATCAGATTGTTTGAAATAAGCATTGCACGCAAATACATTACAACACGATTCAGATAAATTACGTCTTCTTATTGCTTTGTCTAAATGCATTAAGGGAACTAATTATTTTAAATAAAACTTATCTGTAATAAGACATTTACTTGTTTAAACGTGCTTGATTAACTTACTTTAATATTTTGACAGTTTTTCAACTGAACTCTATCGAATAGACTGATGTGTACTTTGTCAACGTAACCCAAATACAAAGCAGCTAGAATGAATCTATGAAGAGAATGTAAAAATAATAATTCAATGAAATACAGGGTAACATAGTTTCTGGGAAAATTGAATAATAATGAGGACAACAATAATAGTGATCTGCTTTATTCCAGAAAGAGTACTTATGTAACGACGGAAGACAATTGCACAACAAAGTAATATAATTTACAAAATGCCTTGCAATGACTGTGAGTTAAGTCAACCACATAGGTCAAACTAGTAGATCAGGTGTAGTGAGATTATCAGAACAGAAGAATTTAACTAAGGTTAGAATGATTGATCCCACGAAGATTATTTTTTTTATTTTATTTTGATTTACAGCTTGATGCCACACCGTATTTTCAGTACAAGTATGGAATTTTCAGCATGGATATCGGTAGCCCAAATTTACAGGCCAACCATAGATATCGGGTGTGCGCCGGCAGGGGATCGAACCCCGGACCATGTGCATGGTCGGCGAGAGCCCTAACCACTGTGCCACCGACGCAGAGAAAAATCTCAGCAATTGCGCTGCATGCATTAACACGCAATCACATAATAAGGTGGGGTGGGACAGAGTCAAAATTCTAAGAAGCAATCTATGTAGGTGGAAAGCGAGAGAGATTGAGTACTGAATCTTGACTGGTTCATCGAGTCTACACACAACACAACATATGCAACAAAAAATAACTCAATCCAAATACCAGAGATACGTATGGAAGATATTATTACCACCAGTCAGTCGAATCAGAGGAGGATAATAAATAATCTTGAAATTCTATTTCATTTCAATTCATATACATCGTAACATTCTAACAAGTTACTTATTTTGACTATAAAACACTCGTCTTATTTTCCACCTGATTGTATTTTATTTATAATACTAATATTGTAACAACAGAAAGCAATACACGGAAGTCAGGGTAAATATTTTTGATTAATCAAACTTCTGTTTATATATGTACAGTTTATATTCGTTAACCAGTCACTGAACGTGTGATTTTGGTTTAAATTAAACGACATGAAAAAAAATGTTCAAATATATATATAATTTTAATTTTGATTAATTTCCCTAAAGATGTTCAGACCAGTTTGCTGAACTAAACGTTAGAATTGCTCATTTCAATTTCACTGAGATTTTACAATCATAATTTTTACGCATATGTACTTGTTAGCTGGCAACCAATTATTTTGGGTCAGTTCGGTCGTATCTTGATAACAGTCCATATGAATCCAAAAGAAACTTGTTTCTTGTCAATTGCTGTAGGTATTACTGAAGCTTTGAGACATGCTACGACGACAGATACTAACGAGGATGAAGCTTAGCTTAAGCGCTTCTTACAATTGGACTTGTCTCCATATTAGATAAATGGAAAGATCCAACATCGCTCATGTTCTACTCCCCTTCCTCTCATTCCACAGCAAATGTTGAATACTTTCGGCGTCATCCATTAAGTTGATTGATGCTAATCAATATTTTATGAAAGCCTTGAATAGGCTACTTCATTAAAGTATCTCTGTTATCTCTAAATATGTAATAACAAGAAATATAAAACATTTGCAGTTGACTCCACATTACTCCAGTGGATTAGTTAGCTAGTTAGTTAGATACATAACCTCATATTTCAAAAACCTATAAGTTGATTAATAAATTTGATAGTGTGTCCAGATATCATAAGCATTTAAGAGTCATTTCGTCCTTGTTTCAACCTCTTCAACAGCACACACATGCGTCGATAACTTTTAAACAAAACAAAAAGTTAATTCACAATAGTATAATAAATACATCAACAGTTAACTTACTCATGTTTTCTTATTTTATTCAATATATTCAAAAGAATCTGATGCTTATTTCTACTGATATTGTCATCTGTCGAATGTATAGCCTCCCCAGTAGTGTTATATTCATCATAACGGATGATAATTAAGTTCATTTGATTAGATTTTACTGTTGACCAGGTATCTGTAAGATCATTGTAAATCTCAATTGTTGTATTTTTATTGAATTGCTTAATTGAATCAATATTGTTTTGAATTAATTGACTTAACTGTATTGTTTAAGTAGGATCAGTTTATAAGTAAGTAGATAATTAAGTGATAAAACGAAAATCAGAATAAAAATAAGAATAATGTTAAATTCCGTACTATTTATAATAAATCAATAAATTAATTGTGAAGACATTCTTGTCAGTAGAGGAGAGGATTCCTTACAATTCAAGTAATTTTCTTCAGAAATTTCAGTCAGCTAGAAAATAGTAGCTCTGTTTTGTATCTTGTCATTAAAAAAACCATTTTTACCTACCGACCTGGGAAGCATCGTTTCAACTACAGGCGGATGGAACTGATGAGGATATCAAAGTGCGAGGATCGGGAAAACAAGGCAAGCTTTCATTACTCTTAAGTCTGTGTGGAGGTCAACAGCACTCAGTATGAAAAATAAAATCGGGATTTTCAACTCCAATATGAAGTCAATGCTACTTGCTGTACTGATCAGAGACTTGGCGCCGCACCGCGTCACAAGGGACACTTCGAACAAGCTACACACCTTCATCAACATCTGTATTCACTCAATAGTCAAGATCAGATGACCAGAAAAGATCAGCAATAGGGATCTCTGGGAGCGAACCAACCCAGCGGAATTGAAGTGTGCAACAAATAAGCAGGAAGAAATGGAGGTGGATTGGATTGGCCATACTCTGAGAAAACCATCAAGTGACATCGCACGCCAGGCCATCGCTCGAGTGGAACCAGACCGAATAGGAAGCGGTGAGTTGGTGGTCAGTGCGAGGGTGACATGGAGGAGGTGATGTGAAGAAAAGATGAAAGAATGTGGGCAAACGTGGAGTCAGGTGAACAGGATTCGCGGAGAACCGAACGCAATGGAGACATGCAGCTGAAACCCTATGTTACTCTAGGAACTAGATGAGATAACAATAATAATAATTAAGAGTACTTCGACACTACTGAGTACGCCAAACATTTATCACCCACTTTCAATAGGTATATGTTGATGCTACCCACCCCAAATGATTCACAACGGAAGGTTCCGTGAAGCCAATGAAGTGAAGAGAGGAGTAAGACAAGTCTATCTACTATCAACACTGATACTCCTTCAGGGAAAGCTTCGATGAATGTCAGAGACATGTTTCCAAAAATAACACAAAACAACTGTGTCTATAGGATAAAGTGTTCAGAATATGAAGCTTGATATGTATAGGGTAAAGCAGTAGACAGGTGAAAGTCAGAGTGAATGAACATAGACTGTGCACGAAACGGCTGTCTGAAAATGAAGTAGCATTAAAAAGTCTAGAAAATAGATCAGCTGTGACAATGGACGCTACAGAGAGTGGAAATAAGATTGATTTCCACAACGTCGTGGCTGAATGGTATACGAACTTGCCTTGTAACCGGAAGGTCCTGGGTTCGAATCCCAGTGGGTGCGTACTGCCGATGATTCCCAAACTACGATGAAACAGCAGCTGTCCAGTACTCCATGGTTTTCAATGGTTCTCTAACTGATATCAGTCCGTGATCAACTCGTAAAAACATAACTAACCCTTACAAACCAAACTATAGAAAACAAAAAGAAAGGTTGACCTCTGAAGCCTTGAATATTTTAATCACATCGAATGCAATAAACAAGAGAGGTGGGATAGACTCATCACCTAGATGGTAGACTCTAATGAACCAAAATAGATGAGAGAAAATTCAAAAATATCCAATCCTCTATAAAAATATTATCATGATGTGACGTCTTCTCCATAAACAACATGCACACACACAGTCATGCGGACAAAATGCACATACGTCAATTTGACATGAGTCATCAAAGAAATATGATGACTTTTTACGTAGTTTTCTATTGGTACAAATGTCTACCGAGACGTGAACTTCAAAGGAAATCACTTTAATTTATGTAATTTTTTGACTATATATTTTGATGATCAATGAAAACCCGGATAATTCTTCTGCTGAAGAAGCTGTGGTGGCTTACACAGAGAAACGTTCAGAAAAATACTGTTTTGGTCTCTTCTTAAACAGTTTGGGGTTACTTTAAACAATCTATCATGATATTTTACGAGTTGACCACGGATTGATATCAGTTAGAGCACCATTGAAAACCAGGGAGTACTGGACAGTTGCTGTTTCATCCTAGTTTGGGAATCATCGGCAGTACGCACCCACTGGGATTCGAATCCAGGACCTTCCGGTTACAAGGCAAGCTCGTATACCATTCAGCCATTGGGACCCGATTCAGTAGCTCATGAATTCTAACTTCTACCAATTCGTGATTTAGCGCGACCCCAACCATTGTCGTTGGTGAGACATCCATCCACACACGTGACATCTAATTGGACCTCACTGGTCACAACTTCTCACTAGAGCTCCAGGAAACTCGTTCCTCTGGCAAGTCGCTAGCGAGCATCATATTGATTTTCTATAGTTGGTTTGTAAGGATTAGATTTGGTTTTACGAGATGATCACGGATTGATCATGGATGAAACAGCTGTCCAGTACTCCGGTGCTGGTTTTCAATGATTCTCTAACTGATATCAATCCGTGATCAACTCGTCAAAACAAAACTAATCCTTACAAACCAATTTTAATTATATTCCTTATTATGATGAACAAGATCGTGCAACAAACCGTGGAGAATGACGAAGATGTACATACGTTGGACCGACAATAAAAAACAAGTCTAGTTTATTCGGAATGAAGATCATATAACCAGAAAGGACAAGCAAAAAGTAACTCCAAAGCCAAACCGGAGAGGAACCTATCTCCTAACAAATATGTAGAAAGAAACGGATTTAAACTTTGCGCATATCCTGGAGAGACAATTCAATGACAATCAGTACCAGGTGCTAGAGTGGGATCCAAAGAAAGTTGACAGTTCAAGTATGACATGCTGAAGATCGTGTGTAGTGAGAAGATGAAAGCTTGTCAGCAATCCTGAGGCCAGCTATAAACAGACGTCAAACTGAAATTCAGACGTCCTGTTAAAGTGCTATGTTCCACTCGCAAAACACAAAGGAATAACAATACCGATTATTCAGAAGAGTTAACTGCCCAATCACTTTTAACCTATTTATTCAATTACAGTCTCATTTGCAGGTGATAAGCTTAGATGTTGATCATTAATGCGAATACCCTCATATCAATCATGTTAAACGAAGGATCAATCTATAAGGCACTGTACATTTGAATAATTGCTTGATTGTTAAAAACTATTCGTCACCTCACTTTTCTATATTTTTGTTTATTTCATCTACATTTTTCTATCTTTATTGATTTTCTATCTTGTGTAAAGTCTTATAAGTCTAATTCATCACATAAAGTATTTTTATTACGGTAAAATTTACATAATCAGTTATGCTCTACTTAGTCTGTATGTAAATCGTTTTAAACAACAAAAAAGCGCTACAAAAATCACCTATTCAATGTTTCAATATCAAGCAAATCATTGAACCAGTCAATGAAGATTCAATATACGTTTGGTGTTCTGCAGTGTACTCAGAATATACTACACTTTGACAAGAAGTAGAGAAGGTATTCTATTCGTATGTGGTCCTGCTGTCAGCTTTGCACTAAGCATTCAGTCTAAACCAGGAACAAAGAATCTACCATTGAATTTTGATTGGTTGACACCCTACTAACCAATCAGAAGACAGTTGCCATAGCGTCAAACCTTGTAAATTATTGGTCATTGTAAAACAACTATATAAACAGCTGTATTCTCTGGACATTAGCCTATTTTTATCCTGAAGAAATAAATTACTACCTTCTCATTCTGTACAAAAGAAATACTAACTAATCTCTTACCCTATTTGGTGGACTCCGCTGGTGACAACTTCTCACTAGAACTCCAGATAACTTAATGTATAGAGCCAATCACTAGTGAGCATCAAACTAATTACCTATCAAGTATTGGTTTGCAGGGATTTGATTGATTACAGATTTGGTCACGAGGTGTCACCAACTAGAGGAAAATTGGCCAACATGGTAGTAGCCAGTGGGACCCGCCGAGTCAGATAAGAGATCAGTTACTGGCCTACGACACTGGCTGCAGGTTGCGATATATATATATATATATATATATATATATATATATATATATATAGGATAGAAGAAGAAGATAGGACTAGACACATTACACTAGTTACTGACTAGTGCGCAATCGAAAATGTCCAATACAATCCTACAGGAGGTCAATCGCGAGCCTGAATAGCTCAGTAGTAACATCTCTGACTGCGGCACTCACTGGGTGACGCGGGTTCAAATCTCAGAAGGTACATGAGTTCCTTCGAGGTTGCAGATACGCCTCACTGATGAGCGCCAATTAGCACGAAACCTAGGTCCAAGGCTGAGCTTCCTTCCGATCGCCTCCAACCATCTAATACCAACAATATATACACAGATATGGAAGTGACAGAAGTAGGAATTCATGGGTAGCTAGATCGAGTTCCAGTGTCTGAATGGTCTACGAACGTTCTTTCGAAACAGTAGGTCCGGGATTCGGACTCCGGTGTTTTTGTACTGCTGCAGAGTCGTAAACTAGGATGAAACAGCTGTCCAGTACTTGTGATCAAAGCTATAACAAACGAAATCCCTGCAAATAACCACTTTGCAAACATTAACTAAACGGGGAAGTATAAGAATTTGATGGCGTTCATAAAGAGTCAACGAAAAAGATTTTGACTCATATTACCAACGATTTCAAGCTATTGGTCTTTAGCATTCCCAGAACCTCAACAAAGCAGTCGACGCATCTGTATGTGGGTTGGACCAACAATCAAAGACTCAGAGGATTTCATCATGAGCTGAAAGCAGTTAGAGAGTCATTGGGAAACCTGTGAGTACTTGATTGGTTATGATTTGCCTCCTCCCCCCATAATTCTTTTCCAGACTAATCCAGACTAATCTTAAAAAGCAAAAAGGTAAATCAAAAGAATTCATAGAGTAATAACACTCACTCTTTCATGAAATTTAGCCAATTCACTTTGTACTGCTTCATCATTTGATGGAATTTCAGAAAGATGGAATTCATCAGATTGTTGTAGTTTTGAACGTTGAGCATGAATTAATTCTTTTAACAACTGTAATGGTGTTTTATGCATCGATACGATTTCATCTGCTATCCAATTCATTTGACGTAGTCGATTTACGGCGTTGACACGACTAACTGATAGACAAGCCTCATTAGTTTTTGTTGTATACAAGTTAGTTATGTTAAAACCTGCTCGAAATATTAAAAAAAAACATGCATTTAGTAAAAGCATAAACATTGGAGTACCAACTAATTATCTATGCCAGCTTTTATTGAGATGCACGCTCAATGTGAAGTTTACACTTAACGATATCATCTGTAATCAGATGGGGTGGAGTCAATATGAGGTCTCCACTAAGACCTCCTCTAGTGGAAGTCTTCATGACGAGCTCAGTGAAGTGGACCACTGAAAGAGACAATCTCGAGTCTGCAAATGTCTAGGCGATATATGGACGACAATTTTATTATTTATGGTGATAATTGTCCAACTTATGAGCTTCTTGGAAAATCTAGTGGTTCCCACCCATCGAAGAAGAGTCGAATTCCTCATTTCACTTCTTAGATGTAATGCTAGATAGAAGAGAAGATGACACGTTGAAAAGGTCGACTTACTGAAAGCCACCATCTACAGGTGAGTACACCAACTTCAACAGTTGGGTACATCTAGGCAGGAAGAGAAATATTATCCGTTCTCTATGCTCCAGAATTCGGAAAATTTGATCTGTAGATATGATCGACATAGAAATAGAAAGCCTTCGGACAACTCTTTTAAATAGTAGATATCGTAGAAGGTTTATCGACAGAAACACCAAGAAAGACACCATCTCCAGCGAAATTACAGTGCCAAAGAAGACACTGTCTATGAGTTTGGCGTTCGATTCCCATCCTTATGTTCTGGTCAAGAAGTAACAGTCATTCACCACCATAGGCTTACCACCAATACTGGTTAAATGAAGAACATCTTCATGTTGTGATTTAAGGACATCCTCAGTGATGTAATCGTTAATACACTTGGTGGTTGTGCTAACGAATTCTCTACCTAGTCGATTCACAAGCCTATTGTTCTAACCACTATTAGCAACAACAGCGACAACAACAACACGATACGATACCATCAAAAACTCGACCCAAGAAGACAAGACAGACCACTGACTTAGGGAGCCTTAACTGTCTCGTATCAGCGGTCCAAATGGCTGACAGTGCTTGTGTATACATAAGCTTTGAGTGACCCTGAGAGATACTAGATGCATTGATAAATTAAAAACATCAACAACCAATAGGAATTCAAGGTTACAAGTGGAGTGAGGGATACACAACCAACAATGTTTAAATACATGTAGTATTTTAGGGAATTTGTTTTATCAGTCTAGATAAACTATAAAAATTGAAATATTTAACCAAAAATATTTACTTTGAAAGAAAAATAACACACAAATCCAGTAAAAATCTTACCTTCACTCAACAAAATTTTTAATATTTGACATAAATTTTTCAACCAGTTCGATGGGGATATAAACTTCTCGGAATGATGATGATGATGATAGCTTATTTGAAGGCAACATTCTTTTATACACCATTTATGATTCACTAAAGAATTGATTATTTCATTCCAAACATGTTTAAATTGTCTGTTTTGAGTAAAAACAAATAATAACATTATGCTTTTAAAACAAATTGAGCGCGCAAGCTAAAAAGCGCGCTAAAATTTATGATTACTATTATTAATAAATGTATACATCTTATGACGTTTGATTCCTTAAATAAATTCATGGATAGGATTGGAGGATTTCATCATGAGTTGACATCAGTCAGAGAACCATTTGAAAACCAACAGGGAGTACTGGACAGCCAGCTGTCTTGTCCTAGTTTGGGACTCTTCATGAGTACGCAACCACCGGGTTCTCCAATGGTTCTCTAACTGATATCAGCTCCTCATGAATTCAAATAAAGCAAGAACAACAGCAGTGTTTGCAGAATAAAATTGTACTTTCATATCGTTTATTTCGTTGGCTTCTCATCAGCTGCTTACAGTCTAAAGTCATTAATAAGCATATCTACAAAAACAAATTTAACATACTTGCACAGAGTTTCTTTTTAGACAAAAATCAATCAGTATATGCATACAATAATAGCAATATATATAAAATAGTAATAAACACTTTATTCCGAATAATAATGGTCATACATAATGGAAACTTTCTACATTACGTAATCAGATGGAAGAGCTCAATTCTCCCCAAGTTCGCCAAAGTGATCTCCATCAAGCGCCTGAAGCCGGATTTATGCGTTCAGAAAGAAGCGATTACCAGTCTTTCATTGCCAGCCTGGTAACTGGATATTTTCACCCCCGCTTTCATCTGATTACGTTATGCCAAAAGTTTCCATTGTGCATGATCATTACTGTTTGGAATAGTGCTAGATATTATATATATACATATATATATATATATATTAATGTATGTATATATTGATTGACTGGTTTTTGTTTAAAAATGAACTGTCTGTGCAAGTATGTTAAAATTGTTTCTGTAGATATACTTAATAATGACTTTGGCCTGTAAGCAGCTGATGAGAAGCCAACAAAATAAACAATGATGGTACCATTTTATTCTGCAAAAGCCACTGTTGTTCTTGCTTTATTCAAATTCATTAAGAGAAATAAATCTATGAAACATGGTGAAATCCTCCAGTCCAAACAAACAAACAAATCCTTACAAAACCAGTACTTGAAAAATTCATAGATAATTAAATTCCAACATAATGCTTTTACAATCTCAAGGCCCTGGGAGTCAACCCCTACTGTGGAAGTTGTTTTGTAATCTCTGTTAGTATTTCTTAAATTTATACATATTCTTTAGATTACGGGTTTTTCATAGGGATTTGGATTAACTTCCCTGAAGATTTTGTCAAAGACCAATATCAGTTACAGAAATCATTAAAAACTGAGGAGCACTGAGTGATTATTTCATCCTAGTCTGGTGGTAGTTATCAGCAGAGTACACCCACAAGCCTACAAGCCGTCGAACCTTGGACCTTTGGGTTATGAGTTCAAGTTCGTTGATCATCTAGACACTACGGTAGGGATTCATTGACCTGTGGATTTCATCTTTGTCAATTCATGATATAACACCTTCGACTACTATGCATGCCTTGATAGTAACATTGTGGATACTGCTGAATGGCTAAATGGTCAGCAAGCTTGGTTTCTTAACTTGAAGGTCCCAGTTTCGATCTCTTTTGGGGCTGTATACTGATGAAAAGGCAAGATACGCCTTAATCAATCTGAAACCAGTTTGGAAATCTTCTGCACTCAAGTAGAATAAACAAAAAGATTGGGATTTTCAGCACAAATGTGAAGTCAATCACTTCGTCTACATATGGTTCTGAAACTCGATACCGGCGTTATGAAAAGCATTTCCAATGGGTTTTATACTTCTATCAACAACTACCTTCTCTGGCTCCATACTGAAGATCGAATGGCAGACTGTCCAGAAAGAATTAGCAACAAGAAAATATGACTGGGAACAAACCAACCAAGAGCCTATTGCTTAATAAATATGTAGGAGAAAAATGGAGATTGATTGGATATTCGCTGAAAAGGGCGTCAAATGACACTGTGCGCAATGCAGAGCATCACTCGACTAGGATCCAAATGGGAAGTGACGAATGCGTCGTCAGTGCAAGGGTGCCATGAAGGAGATCGTGTGAGTTGGAGGAGGTAAGAGATTATGGGCAATCGTGTTGGGCCAGCCAAAGAGTTTGGCAGAAAATGGAAAAAGTGGAGATATGTTGTTGAAGCTGTATGTTCCACTCGGATCATAAGGGAACAATAATAATAATGCACTAGCGAATGTCATCCATGCCCACTATTTGTCCTCACGCTCGATCTTGTGGATCCCACTGGTCACGACTTCCTACATGTTCCTCTAACCAAGCATAGAATCGACTTTTTATTCACAAACACTACCTCACTCTGCTCTATATTTCATTTACAAAATAATATTAAAATTTTAGCAACAAAACCTGTTACATTAACTTGTCTTCTTTTATTGGGAAATGATAAACTTACTCCTTATCAGATAAAGTGGATAACTGACTGTTTATTTGACATCTTGTTGTGTAATCAAAATATGTACAAAGTTCAGTTGAACTGAAAAATATCTCAGATAACCTTGAAAAAAAGAAAATTTGTGTCACTATAAAGTTCAGAGAAAGAATAATAATTCTATATTTAAAAAATACACAAAAAAATGAGCGAAGAAATATTCTTTCCTTTTCAGTTAGCTGCTCATCATTAGCTCTACACTGATATATAGATTCTTTTTACGCCAAAATTGTACCAACCAAGTGGTTATTTTTTTCCTTCACGTTCCCCAGTAGAACATAGGGCTTCAAGCTAGTACCTTGAAGTTTCTGTAGCAGTGTTTATTTTACAGGATGGGGTTGCTAGCCTCATGCCCAACCTTTCCTCTTTACCAGCTTTATTTCTGGCTTAGTGAGGTAAAGGAGTGCGCTGGCCGGGGATCGAACCCCGGACCATATACATGGTCGGCGGGCGTCCTAACTGCTATGCCACCGACGCAAGTGGTTATTTTAGTTAATCATTTTTAGGTATAACGGGGGTGGAGTGAAATTAAGAGGCTAAAAGACATCAAAACAATTAAGTAATAAATGTTAGTAACAAGATATCTAAGTGTTGAAAGGGGGGTAAAAATTAATTAATCACGGGATTCAAGATCATTTAATTCGTAGGGGTTAGCATCAAATTATTACATAATCAAGAAATTTGTAAAATTTTAATGATTAAGAAAAATTACGTAAAATACAAGCAAGTTATTCAAGTGTTGGTTTGCACGGATTTCATTGGTTTCGGGGATTCTCCATGAACTGACAGGGGTTAGATGACCATTGGAAATCCTAGGAGTACTGGACAGTTGTTTCGTTGGGAAGTCATGACCAGTGAGATACAGTAGGTCAAGTGTGAGAGAATATACTCGCCACGGATAACATTGGCTAGTGCCACTCATGCTATATTGTGAATTTTCAGAAATGAGAATTCATGGGCCATTGGATAAGTGGCCTACGACCTCGATTTGTAACCACAAGGTCTTGGGTTCGAAACCTGGCAGTGAATATGTACTGATGAAGAGTTCCAAACTAGGAGGACGAAACAACTGGTTGTCCAATACTCCCAGGTTTCCCAATGGTCTTCTAATCAGTATCAGTTCATTGTGAAGTCCTGAAACAAACAAGTTAATACAGTTAGGGGAGGCGTGGCCAATAGGGTATAGCAGGCTGAAGATGAGGCAGTATCACATAGAAGAAGACATTGCTAAGTGGTTGCACTATGTCATGAATTGGCAAAAATTAGAATTCATGGGCTGGCCATTAAGTCGGTTCCCATTGGCTTAATGGTCTACGAGCTCGACTTATAATCAGAAGGTCCTGGATTCGAACCATGATGAATGTATACTGCTGAAGAGCCTCAAATTGGGACGAAACAGCCGTCCAGTACTCCCTGTTGGTTTTCCAATGTTTCTATAACTGATGTCAGCTCATGATGAAATCCTCCAACCAATCAAACAAACAGACTCCCTACACAAAAAACCAATACTTGAAAACAACTTTGTCTTCTGTTCCCCGAGGTTTCCATACCGCTAAAGATGTTTGGTTTCCTAAATGGGGGTTGCTACTTCCACTCCACTCCCAACCTTCTCTCTTTTCCAAACTTAAGACCAACTAGTTAAACTATGACCCTATGAATAACTCAAGAATTTTCGTCTTCCAACAAATAAGCTCTAAACTCCAATAATATTCAATGACTCAATTTGATAATATTAATAAAAAACTTACTTTTTAACACTTGACAAATCCAAAGTAAAATAAATTTGATTTGAATTAAACCATTTAGTTAAACAGTGTAGTAAATTTTCACCGTGAATTAAAACACAACCAACTGAACATTGATCATTACTGTTATTATGTTGATTTAAAGATAATGCATCGAATAAATTTAAACATTGCTGTACATTTTTATGCGTATTATTCAAATACAACAAATCATTAATCAATTTTCGATGAATATCAGTAAGTTGGCGCAGACTTATCCATTTCATTGAGATAATATTAATAGAAGATTGATTAGTTTCATTGAAATCAATAAGATATTGAAGAAGATTAGTGAAATGAAGAATAGGATGTGATGATTTGTTTATTTTATTACTATGGTGACCAGTTTCATTTTGTGGCACAACGTTTAAACATGGTATACATAATATAAAACTAAGGGATTCACAATCTGGATATGCTGGATTCTTATTGGCTGATAAGTCTAGTTGACCTTGACTTGTTGCATTCTCATCAGTATTACTTGTAGGTAGCTAAAAAATAAGAATTATACAAGAATATTAATTCACGCTGCACCAACGATAGGACGAGTTATTAGTGTCCAATGAAAGTTTTCAATACAGACCTACAGGAGGTCAGTCGCGAGCCTGAATAGCTGAGTGGTATCATCTCTGACTGCAGCACTGAGTGACGCGGGTTCGAGTCTCTCTCAGAAGGGACATGAGTTGAGTTGCTAACGTGTGCCAATAAGCACGAAACCTAAGTCAAGCAAGGCTTCCTGTGGCCGATTGCCTCCAACCATTTAATATCAGTAATTTAAGCATTCTGAAAATCAAAATTTGGAATACTTAAATTCAATAAAAACAAAAGAACATTAGAATAAAAACAATGACTGAACACTGTTCAACTTACGTAATTCAAATTATTCAGAGTAAAGATATTAACAGTTTGTGAATCAAGAGGCTGAAGGTGAATGAAGACAGTTTCAGGATTATCTGAAAAGGAATAAAATAATAATAATAATTTGCTTTATTCCAAAACAGTACTTGTGATACAGAATGGAATTCTCAGCATTTTTTACTACAGTATTGCATCCAGTTAGTACATTGTCAATAAATAGAATTCTACATAGATTGAGGAAACCACAGTTCATTATTACAACAGTACATTGGCATGTCGGTAGCAAAGGTAAAGCTGAAACAGTGTTTGAAGGTGTTAGAAAAGTGGGAGCTGTCTTATTTAACTGGCGTAAGCGAAAGAAAGAGACAAAGCAGCACATAACGGAAAAAGAAGAGAGAGAAAAGGAACAGAAAGAAAGGAAATGTTGTACCTATTGATGATGTGAGTTGGAAAGACGAGATCCAGTTCTTCTACTGACTATTTAATGAATTATAGGTGTCACGCCTAATGCTTTCTTTATCACACAGAACGCGAGCTAAGGAGGGTATGGTTGAGTTTTTGTACTTGCTGGTGCGAGCATATAGTTTTCTATATTGGCTTCTGGTTTTACCTGATGAGATGCAAGGGGAGAGTTGTGAGTGAAGAGGGTGGTGTGAGTTAGATAAAATGGATTTGGCCCATTTTTCACATGAGTCCATGTGCCTGTCAACCAAAATATTAACAAGCTGGTTAAGTGGCACGTTGCTTACTCTGCTGACAACATTTAACATCCTGCGTAATATGTTATAATCTTTCTTCAGTAGCCCAGGAAAAACTAAGGGGAACAATAGAGAATAATAGGCAGGATGCGAGAATTAACGAATTGTAGGAGTAAGGGTTGGGTAATACCAGAATGTTTTAACTTCTTAATGTAGAAGGCAAGATGGAATATTTTCTTAGAAATTGCTAAGATATGAGACGACCAGAAGAGATCAGCAGATAGAATGACACCTAGGTATTTAATTTCAGATTTGGTTTTTATTTCAGTGCCGTCTGTGTTGCATACCTCGTGAGAGCCAACCAGTTTGTTTAGGTCTGATTTATGCCTAAAGGTGAATACTATAAATGCTTGATTATCCTAAGTATCAAGCATATTTCAAAGATATTTAGTACTGCCTTCTATGTTTGGTGAGAGTTGTCTGTAAGCCAAAATTGTAAACAATAACTTACGTCAACGTTTACGTCCTGAATCCGGGTCATGAGAAAATACAAAATCAAAGCTTAACCTTGAGGAACTCAACAACCAATCACAGAAGACTTGGCGTGCGCAAATACGATTTGCAGATATATGGCTTAACTTTCTGAGAGACGGTCACAAGCAGTACAGAATAGTAACCTTCAGCAAGAAAATAACCAATCAGAAAACGTTGCTTCTCTGCTAACAATAACAAATAATAGAATACATGAATATCTATAAATATCTGTTGATTTTATCAATAAACGATCTGTTGCCTGACTCTTGTCTTCTGTCGTTACATATGGAAATGATGTGAAATAAGATAAGTAGTTCAGCGAACAGGCTCTTTTCAGAGAATTCATTCTCTCCTCTTTAGCTGTACAATCACATTTGTATACAACCTCCTTTTCATGAAAGAGGGTAGTGACAAAACTGATGAGTTGTCACCATCATAGTTGATAATAGAAGGATTTGAACAAGTATATTAGATTTATATGATAAGATGAATAATTCAATGAATGGGTTGTAATCAGGATGCACATAAAAACGAAGGAAAAATATGGAACTACGAAGAGTTATAAGGAAATAGACGATTTTAAGGCGACACTTAATCTACGTCATCCTTGAGAGAAGAAATTCGTCATCTTTGAGAAGTATGTTCTTCGCAGCAACACTAAGAGTAGTGTTCTCCGGTAGTCCATTGGTCTGTAGAAGCCTCAAAGACAAGATCTCTCATTTGACCACTTCTATGTGCATACATCGACTCACCTTTTCCTGTGGAGCCAGGCAGGTACATTGGTCGTTTGACGCGTATGCTTAAAGAAAGACAGTAATGGCTCTATAAGGAGTTCGATAATCGAAAACCTTGTCGACCGACACCAGTCATTCCATCTCAGCAAATGCCTCCTTCAAAGCAATTTATAAAGTGAAGCATAATTCATGATTACCACTCTCACGTGTTCCTTTTGTAAATTTTCTCACTCTCTCTCTCTCTTCACACATGTTAAATGCATACTCAACTGTCTTTCTTCTCACTCAGTGACAATTTAACGTTATCAAATTTCCAACCATTTCTTCCTTTGTGTCGTTGAATATTACGTAATGTTTTTGGTTTTTTTTAACTCAACTTTTGAGGCCACTTCTGAGTTATTACATTTCAGTTATGTCACCCCCTACCTATTACTCAATAGTAGACTAATGTACGTTTTTAGTAAGTATCAATACGACTGTACAGCCTGTGAAGATGATTTCGTCGATAAAGAAAATTTTGGTTACAGGATTTCATCATGAGCTGACATCGGTTAGAGAACCATTGGAAAACCAGCTGAGAGCACTTAACAACTGTCTCATCCTAGTTTGGGACTCTTCACAGTACGCACCCACCGAGGCTCGAACCCAGAACCTTCTGTTTACAGGGTGGGTGCGTCCTATGAGGAGTCGCAAACTAGGACGAAACACTTGTTCAGTACTCCCAGTTGGTTTTCCAATGGTTCTCTAACCGATGTCAGCTCATGATGAAATCCTGTAACCAATCAATCAAATCCCTACAAACCAATACTTGAGAGGAAGTTTTCTTCGCTGGACTGTCTTTAATTTTTTTTATTTTTCATTCAAATTTTCGGTATTTGTGCTTTCTTAACAAATCTCGTCAAAATTAATTCAGATGTATTCTAGAATATTAAATTTAAATAGATCAATCTATGACAATGATTCACAAAACACTGATGATTTGTTAATGGGAATCTGCAATCAGCGGGCTCTGGGTAGTTCCGGTGTGAGAAGAAACACTCACCCATGATATCAGCTGGAGGTTGCGCTACATATGTCGCGAACTGGTAGAGATCAGAACTGATAGGAAGATCAATACCTATTGACTGTCTTCAACAAGAATGAAAACACACACTTTCATCAAAAAGTGTTCAAACTCGAGTCAGAACACCAACAAAAAGCCGTCATCAAAGACTACAAGAAAGTTCACTCTACCATATATAAAGAATATCTCTAAAACAACTAACAGCTAAAATAGATATAAGAACAAAACTTGGGCACTGTGGTAGAGTATAATTCCATTATGGGTAAATTTTATTTTGATAGAGTCTCACAGTGTTATACAGTAATATTTACTGATGACGTTTCGAGCACAGTTTATTGCTCATAATCATATCAAGGTAATCACACGACTTCCTAAATTCATTTATATAGTTCCATTGTTTTTCACTTGATTTGATTGGTAGTATTATTTTCCATATTTCCGGTATGAGTGATGATTCATTCCTATTGCATGTGTTGGGTGTAGATTCGATGAACAAAGATTCAGTAATCAACCTCTCTCTCCACCTACCTAGATTACTTTTTAGAATTTTAACCCTCTCCCACCCTATTGTGTGGTTGTGTGTTAATGCATGCATTGCAATTGTTGAGCTGAGAAGATAAGTAATTTATAAAAAGTAATCTAGGTAGCTGGAGAGAGAGGTTGATTACTGAATCCTTGTTCATCGAATCTACACCCAACACATGCAGTAGGAATGATTCATCACTCATACCCGAAATATGGAAAATATTACTACCAATCAAATCAAGTGAAAAACAATGGAACTATATAAATGAATTTAGGAAGTCGTGTGATTACCTTGATATGATTATGAGCAATAAATTGTGCTCGAAACGTCATCAGTAAATATTACTGTATAACACTGAGACTTTATCAAAACAAAATTTATCCATAATGGAATAACAGCTAAAATCCTAAGACCGTTTTAAATAAACATATTACATAAGCCAACACAATCACTTCATTCGATATTTTATAGACCGAAAAATCCAACAGTGAAAGAAGATAAATTCAATACCATTTACAAAATAAACTGCATAAACTGCAACAAACACTATATCGGTCAAAGTGGGCGTCCACTTCGTGTCCGACTCCAAGATCATAAGTTAGCTATGAAAGGACACGATACGTATTCTTTCATATCGATACTTGTGTAGACAATTCCTGCACGAATTTGACTGGGATAATATAAAAATTTTAAATTGAGGAAACACCAAAAATTATTGATATTCCCTTGGGTTCCGAGTGGAACATACGACCTCAATAACACATCTCCAGTTGGGTTTGCGATTGCCCATAATTTCTCATCTCCTCCTCGTCACACGATCTCCTCCATGTCACCCTCACACGGACGACCCACTTGTCGCTTCCAGCTGGGATTCTACAAGAGGGCCTGGAGCACTATGCCAGGGAATTTATAGAAGGCGACTAGCAAACATATTACTATAGACCAAATTTACTAGTTTGCCCAACAGAACATTTGAATTACTTATTTCGTTTTCGCTGAGATTTATCAAATATAATTTTTACATATATCTACTTCTCACTTGGTGCCCAGTTATTTTGGAATTATTCCGTAAAATCTTGACTACAGTTCATTTGACAAGAAATTTAAAATTCCAAGTCAATAAAAATGATCAACAGAGATGCAAATAAACAGGGGATCACGACAGCAAAGGTTGTCAGGAGATACAATTATATCATCATTGATGGAGAATTCAAATGCGTTCTTTTCATACTGAAACTTGCACTGAAGAAGTTATCTAGAAGGTGGACAACGAAACCTTTAAAATTAAATCCACAGCCACCTCAGAGAACGCAACTAAATCAAGGTTGATAGGCCATTGGATTCCGTCTCTGTTGCTGAATGGTATACAAGTTTGTCTTATAACCTGAATTTCCTTGGTTGGATCCCTGGTGGGGTCCTGAACGGGTACCACTAGAAAGTTCTAAACTAGGTCTGTAACGACAGAAGACAAGGGCTAGGCAACAGATCGTTTACTGTGGAAATCAAAAGATACTTATATATTTTTGTGTACATTATTATTCGTTATTATTAGCAGAGAAACAGCGTCTTCTGATTGGTCGTTTTCTCGCTGAAAGGTTAGACCATGCATCTGCGAATCGTATCCGCCCACGCAAAGTTTTCTGTGATTGGTTGTTGACTTAGTCTTTGTTCTTGTTTTTTTCTCTTAACCAAGATAAGGGAAGTAAGCATTGACGTAAATTGCTGTCGACCAATTTTGGCTAGCAGACAGCTTTCACCACAGGTCAAAACCAGTATTGCTTTGTTCCAATGATTCTTTAACTGATATCAGTCCATGATCAAATAGTAAAAAGTAATTCTTGAACTAAAAGTAAAGCCGGTGTTATCGTTATTTGGCTGTTCATGACTAACAGCTGAATTTAAGACACGCATTCGTTTTCTGTTTAGAACTCCTCAAATGAATATACCTTCATCCCAGAGACAGAGGGTGTTCCCGCCGAGAAGTACCGAACCTAGTAGCGAAAGTCTCATCAGGATGCAGATTCATCCGTCGATCCAGATGATGACTCCAAGAGCGGACAAAACACATATCACAAACTTTACTGCTAAACACCATCTTCTATCAATCTCAAGACATCTTCAAAGCGTCTGAACTACGGATTCGCCATGTTGGAAAGGGCTGATTATTATTCCCTTAGATTCCGAGTAGAACATCTCCGCTTTGCTCTATTTGGTTCTGTCCTCTTCAGCTGGATCCACAATTGCCCGTAATCTCTCATCTCCTCCTCGCCACACGATCTCCTCCATATCACCCTAGCAGTGACGACCCACTCGCCGCTTCCCATTCACCTTCCACTTAAGCGATGGCCTTTATTGCGCACGATTTCATTGGACGGTTTCCTCAATGTATTCCCGATCGATCTCCATTTTCTCCTGCAATCGGCTCTTGCTTGTTCGCTAGTTTGGGCTGATTATCTCATCTCAAATAAAGTCGATCAACACTAAAATTTAAAATTATGTTAGCTTACCCTTTAAACTGTGAATAATTGAATCTTGCCTATGAATAAATACCTTCACTTGTTCTTTTAAACATTCCAAATGTTGTACAGCATTTTCATGTTTAATAATTATCAAATAATAATTTTTACAAATTAATTGACTACTAATTTCATCAGTAGAAGTAGTAATGGTAGTAGTAGTATTTAATTTAGACTGATTTATCCACAGAAATTGTTGACTAATAATTAAATCATTGAAATATCGTTTCAAATCATGTAAATTTACATCATTGGAACATTGAACAGGATTCCAATACTTTAAATCAACTAATTTATAACCATAATTTAGGGTTAATAATTCAATTAATTTTGGTATTAACTGATAACATTGTGAAGATAATAATAAAAATAGGCTAGTTGCCTGGTATTCAATAACCCAATGTTCATTTTGATTGTTATTCAATATTGATAAGTTATCTTTAAGTGTTTTAATGTAATTCAGAGTTGACGGATGAGTAAGACGAGGACCAAACCAGTGAATCTGTGAAAAAGAAATCAATCAAAAAGTATTTTGTAAATGGTTTGTGAGGGGCCCAATATCTCAAATTAACTGAAGTTACAATTCACGCATCTTCGGAGTATAACTCAGAGACTGAATTATCGGCGGACTTGGTTCGTAAAGTGAAGGTTGTATGTTTGATACATGGAAAGACCATGTTTGTATGCTGCTAAAGAGTCCCATACAAGAACTATCCAACTGCCCAATAGCTGAATATCAATAAGATGGTCATAAGCAACCGACCCTATTCAAGTAGGTAGTTACCTGGGGTTCTAGTGGGAAGCCGTGACCAGTAGGGTACGGTAGGTCGGGTGTGAGGACAAATTCTCGCCAAAAACATTGGCTAGTGGTCGCGATACGTCTTCAATTGGCAGAAGTTGGAAATCATGGGCTGGCCATTGAATCGGGCCCCAGTGACTGAATGGTCTACGAGGTCCCTCGCCTTGTAACAAGAAAATCCTGGGTTCGAACAGTGGAGGTGGGCACGTGCTACTGAAGGGTCCCAAACTAGGACGAAACAGCTTTCCAGGACTCCTAGGTTGGTTTTCCAATGGTTCTCTAACTGATGTCAGCTCATAATGAAATCCTGTGCCTAATGCTGATTGGTTTTCCGTAACTATCAACAGTGAAATTACTCAATGTTATTAATATTTTTGTTTCCATGGTGTCTAAGTGGAATATAGTAAACAAAAATCATCACAATTTTCTTATCCCCTACTGTCCTCTTAAGCTGGCCAAACGATTACTCATGGTCTCTGATCTCCCACTTTCCTAATCTCCTACATGTTACCCTCTAACTCACGCCATACTCGCCTGCATTGAGCGCGATGTCATCCGATGGTCTCCTCAAACTGTGTCAGATCCATCTCCTTTATCATCCATATATTTGCTGATATTAGATGGTTGGAGGCAATCGGCAGGAAGCTCAGCCTTAGACCCAGGTTTCGTGCTAGTTGGCACTCATCAGCAAGGCGCATCTGCAGCCTTGAAGGAACTGATGTCCCTTCTGAGATTCGAACCCGCGTCACCCAGTGAGTACTGCAGTCAGAGACGTTACCACTGAGCTATTCAGGCTCGCGATTGACCTCCTGTAGGACTGTAATGGATATTTTTGATTGCCCACTAGTCAGTAACTGGTGTAATGTGTCTAGTCCTGTCTTTCGTGCTAAATAGCAGGAAACCTAGGTCCAAGGCTTCCTGCCGATTGCCTCTAAACATCTAATACCAACAATTCACAGTGCACCGTAATGGCGAGCCACCTAGCATGGGGGCCACATTGCAAACATGACTGATAGAATTCAGTCTGCACCGAAGATAGGACTAGACACATTACACTAGTTACTGACTAGTGTGCAATCAAAAATATATTTGTTGAATAATAGGATCATAAGGCTTCTTGTTGCTAATCATTTCTGTCTGGCCGATTATCCGATCTTCAGTATGGTGTCAGAGAAGGCAGATCTTGGTAAAAGTCTTTAGCTGGCTGCTGGAAGTGCTCTTCTTGACGCACAGTGTAATTTTCTGACCCATATAGAAGAAGTGGCTAACTAAACATTGGTGCTGGAATTCCGAATTGTTTAATCTGAGTGGAGAAGATTTCAAAGCTAATTTTAGAGTGGTGAAGGTTTTTCTTGCCTTTCCCATTCCGGTTTTGACATCCTCATCCTCGCTGTTGTCTGTGGTTGAAACGATGCTTCCCAGATAAGTGAGGGGAGTAACGTCTTTCATATTTTCCCCTTTGATATTGATTGGTGCTGGTTGTTATTAATGTTGCTGTTGGTCAGTTATCTTCATCAACTCTGTACTCTCTATGTTCACCTACAATCCTGTCTTCGCTGCCTTCTTCTCCTGCCAGTTAGTTGGCTTTCGTCTGCAAATCTTCTAGTTTGTATGACATGAAACATATATCATCTGTGAAATCAAGATCTTCTAGAGTCTTCTTGAAGTCTTCCTGTCTTCTCGCTTTCATTCACAATCTGATGCATAATCCAGTCCATAACAATTAGGAATATCATAGGTGTTAATGGACAGCCTTGTCTCAGAGATTCAATTACTTTTGTCGGTATCCTGTCAACTCCTTAAAACTTCAGTTCATTGGAGAAAAATATCGAATGATAACTAACAGTGACCATGAAATGTATAAAGGTGAAAAGAAATCCTGTTTCAACTTATGTCTAATCCATCCCCGTTTCTTTCTGAATATTTGTTTGGTGATAAATTCTTGGCTGCTTCGTTGCCTGAACTGTCGACTGTTTCCTCTTTCTGGCGGCCCAACTGATCTTCAGCATGAAGTAAAGGTATCTGATGACCAAAGCCTGAAATAATCTGTGAAGAATACTTTCCGTGAAACGTGCACCAATTCTCTGAAGCATATGAAAGCACCGACTTAATGTTACATTAATGTTGAAACCTCAGATCTCATTCCTTACTCTGAGTAAATTAGATTTTCATATTGATTTTAAATAATCGGCAATCTGTTTTGACTTTTTCAGTCCTGACTTTGATATCCTCAGTTCACATAGGTGAATGAGGTGATTTACCTTTGGATTTTTCCTATGAAAGACAGTGGCTGATACATCTCTTGTGTGCTGGTAGTTGCGAATCTTAGTCACCTCTGTAACTCTCCAAAATTCACCTGAAGTTGTGTCTTCACTGCCCGCCTTTTCTGTCAGTCTGATAGATTTTGTATTAATGTAAGCGTAGAACTTTGGCACTGTGGTAGAATGTAATTACATATAAGGTAAGTTTATTTTAAATATCAAACACAGTGATGAAACAGTATTAATATAAGTGGATGACAAGGTTTCGGGCACTAATTATTGCTGCTCATAATCAAATCATTCTGGTCATATGGCTTCATTATTCACTTCATATATGTGTTTCTCTCTCACTCCCTCCCACCCTCTGTTCCTCTTGTTGTTTGTTGCCACTTTCTATAATGGTGTTGCAGCCTTCCGACTGCACGTGTTTAGTGTTGCTTTGATGAACAAAGCCTAAGTGATTAACCTCTTCCTATCTTCACTTAACTGTATTACCTTTTAATACGTCCCCAACCCCCCGCATATCCCACCTTATTATGTGATTACATGCAAGTGAATGCGTTGCAATGGATGAGTGGTTTTTTAGTGCATTTCTCTTAATAGATTCAATCATTTAAAGTCTAGCCAAATTTTTATGCTGCAATAATCAATTTGACCTCTTTCTACTGCGTAATCGGGTCAGAAGCCTAATCAGTAAACCTGAAGATGTAAATAATGAAATCAAAAAAATTTTATTTATTTATTTTTGATTACAGCTTGATTCCACACCGTATTTCTTGGTACAGGTATGGAATTTTCAGCATGTGATATCGGTAGCCCAAATTTTGCAGGCCGACCACAGATATCAGGTGTACTTCACCAGTGAATAACTACCCACAAGAATTTATTCAAAATATATGAAGAACTATGGGAAAACTAAGATAAGCAAATAAAAATGACGGGAATAATATAGAATTCAAAGCCTCTGTAGTACTGTCACCGTATTAAGAAGGAACACCAGAGGCCTTACTTCGGATTCTCAATGAGTCTGGAATTAGGATGATGGGCATTTAAAGCAGCCAAAGATCTCAGAGACAAACTTTTCAGCCTAAAGTACTGGTAGATTTAATGGGGAAAGGTGATACGGTTGACTAAATACCAAAGAATAGCTGTGAGGTGAATTACATAGGTCATTCTTGTAGGCTGGAATCAGTTAGGTAATCGGAACATAAAAATTTAGCTAGACCTAGAATAGTAGTAGTCAATTACAATATTAGTGTTTTTTAAATAATATCGATTTGTCAAGTAAGATCACAATGGAATTACAGTTCATTGAAGATGCATAAGTGCTTCGGTAGCACAGCGGTAGGATGCTTGCCAACCACGCATGCGGTCCGGGGATCGATCCCTGGCCGACGCACTCCTTTACCTCGCTAAGCCAGTTATAAGACTGGTAAAGAAGGAAGGTTGGCCATGAGCCTAACAACCCCAACCCGTAAAAATAAACACCACTCCTACCGAAACTTCAAGCCTGTAGCTTGAAGCCCTATGTTCCACTGGGAACGCAAAGTAATAAAAAAAAGAAGCATAAATTATAATAATAATAAAAATATAATAGCAAATAGAATAACAACTGAAATTAAGGAAATTTCTTCAAAAAATTGAGGAACATTCGAACCTAGATGACCAAGGTAAGGACAATGTCTGAACTAGCTTCTTCTTTTGGACACATAAATTAGGCTTCTTAATGTGTATCTCAACAGCCAGCCTCAGGAATATTTAGTAAACGAACTTTTAAGGCGAAGTTTTGCGTGCTTTTCGTCGGATTTCAGAACATCACTCTGCAGAGTTAAGCAAAGGACAAATCTATTCATAGCGCTATTCTGTCTCATCTTGTGGATACAGAACACAAGAGCTACATATTACTGAGGCTGGCTGTTGGGATCCACATTAAGAAGCCTAATTTATGTGTCCAAAAGAAGTAGCTAGTTCAGACATTGTCCTTACCTTTGCCATCTAGGTTCGAATGATCCTCAATTTTTGTGGAATTTTCGCAATTTTAGTTGATATTCTATTTGCTATTATATCTTTATTATAATTATAATTTATACATCTTTAATGAACTGTAATTCCATTCTGATCTTACTTTTTTTGCTTCACGTTCCCTAGTGGAACAGAGGGCTTCAAGCTAGAAGCTTCAAGTTTCTATAGAAGTGTTTATTTTTACAGGATGGGGTTGCTAGCCTCATGCCCAACCTTTCCTGTTCACTAGCATTATTTCTGGCTAGCAAGGTAAAGGAGTGCGTCGGCCGGGGATCGAACCCTAGACCATGTGCATGGTTGGCGAGCGTCCTAACCGCTATGCCACCGACAAATCGATATCATTTAGAAAAACACTAATATTGTTATTGACTACTATTCTAGAATATTCTATATATATAAACATGCGCATATATAATTGTAGAGCCAGAAGAGGAAGTTATCGAAAAGGATATTCTTTGCGGAATTATTTTTTTATATATGATCAATTTTTTAAAGAGTAATTATATGATCAACTGTAATAACTTACAATGTGTTCCTTATTCACATCTTCATAACAACTGCCATGTATTTGTACACTTTTAGATAACAGTATTGATTGTTTGCTTGCAAACCAGTTTAAAATATGTTGGATTGCAATGTGTGATTGAATTCCACGAATAGCTAAGATTAAGTAAGGTTCTAGATTGTTACCAGCCTCATTATTATCATTATTATTTGGATTTTTAGAAGATAACCAAGCAATACGAATACCTGATATGTATAAATTTCTTAAATGGAGACTAATCAATAAACTATAGATAAATTGTCCAATAATATTTAGCTGTAACTGTGATAGATTGATTTCAATGATAGTTGTACAATACTGTTCAATGTTCAATGCATATATTGAATGGGATTTTAAGCAGCAGTAGTTTTGTTTTAATGGGTGAATATTTCTAATCCATTGATCATACTCACTATTCAAAATATTATTTTCATCAATATCTTGGTCTTTTTTAGGCTCAATGTTCCATATAGTGTTGTCATTTTGGATTTTACCAATATAAGAATTAGGTTGTGTTTGATGTTGTGTTTGAAACCAAAAATTAGAAAGATTGAATTGAATATTGAAAATATTCAATGATATTGGAACATTTAACTTTGGTAGATGAATTCCTACAGGATTATATATCCAATCATTATAGATTTTCCATTGATTTATCTAAAATGTTGTAAAGAAACACTGACAATCAGTTGAAGAATTAGAATAAATAGTAAATTTAGATTTTGGTAATTTATTTAAAATTCCCATTTAAAAACATGTACCTGCGGGAGCAGTAAGAAGAAGGACAGATCTACGATTTTATGAACATGTGCCAAAAAGCTTACATCTAAAGGGAACAAATGCTTTAAACAGTACCATCGTAAGGCATCTCTTCGACACGGATCATGAGGTGGATGTCGAAATGTCGTTCAAAATTATCAATAGGCAGAAGTGCTCAATTCTCCTCAAGTTTGCTGAAGCCATTTCAGCTGTCGGAATCCACCTTAAGAAGCCAAACCTATGTGTTCAGAAGAAATTTGTACAGCTACTTTCCTTACCGTGGCCATCTCTAGAAGAATGCATAAACAGAACTACGTCGCCCCTCTCCCCCTAAATCTTTAAAAACTATAAAAATTATAATTGTCCAAATTATTTTATTTTTATTTATTTTGACCACTTCATCTTTAATTACGTGTTATCCGTGTAAAATTAATTTATTCTAACCATTTCTACCTTTTAAATGTGTATTGATTTTCTGCGTTAGTTATCAACCCATTGACATGTTGACATTGACTAATTATTGTTAACAAACAAACATATCAGTGCCACTTGATTGGTAAACTGTTGTGTATTGTAATAAAAATGCTACATGTATTAGAGTAGAGCCAGAGTGAGATGAGGATCTAATTGAAAAGTGAATATTTCTTCGTTCAATCTTTCTGTTTTCCAAATGTCTAAATGGGGATATTTTCTATATTGAAGCCATTTCCATCAAGCGCCTGAAACCTGATTTGTGCGTCCAGAAAGAAGCGGTTATCAGTCTTTCTTTGCCAGCCTGGTAACTGGATATTTTTCATCTCTCTTTCATCCGAATGCGAAATGCTGAAAAGTTGTTATATATATATATATATATGCGTATACTGGTCGATTGATTTTTGTTTAAAATGAACTCTGTGCAAGTTTGTTAAAATTGTTTTTGTAGATACATTTAATAATGTCTTCGACCTGTAATCAGCTGACGAGAAGGCAACGAAATAAAAGATGGTACCATTTTATTCTGCTAAAACTATAGTTCTTGCTTTGTTCAAATTCATTAAGGGGAATAAATGTATGAAATAAAAACATTTAGGAAAACGGCAAACTGAGAGAAATCATCTACTCTGTTTCAATTCGTTCTACATCAGCGGCTTTAGATCGGGAGCGTATACAAATCATGAGGTATTGTGTCAGCCAGTTAATAACTATTATCATCAGTTTTAAGAAACAGGAAGTGTCAAAATAACGGATTAAAGGTCATCGTGATGGTTAATTTGCTGGAGGTTAACAGTAGATAGCTAGTTAACAAAAAATATAAACTTTGAAGTAAACGAACAGTGAAAACCGATAAACTGGTAGAAGAAGCAGCAAAGATAGGACTCCAGGTGAACATAGACAAGACGGAGGTTATGAAAATAACCAACCAACAACAACAACAGCAACATCCAGTGCCAATCACCATCAACGGGAGGGATTTGAAGGAGGTTCCTTCATTCACTTATCTAGGGAGCATTGTCTCAACCACAGGGGGAACGGACGAGAATGTCAAATCGAGAATCGGGAAGGCGAGAAACACATTCATCAGCCTGAAACCAATCTGGAAATCTTCGTCACTCACTCAGCATCAACAACAAAATTCGGATTCTCAATACAAACGTCAAGTCAGTCAGTTCTTCTATACGGATCAGAAACTTGGCGGGTCACAAAGAATATATCCAACAGGTTGCAGACCTTTATCAACAGCTGTCTTCGTTCTATACTGAAGATCAGATGGCCGGAAAGAATCACCAACAAGAAACTATGGGAACAAACAAAACAAGAACGAAACAATCGCTCAACAAATATGCAGGAGAAAGTGGAGATGGATTGGACACTCGCTGAGGAGGCCGCTGGGTGACGTGTAGTTGAAGCCCTACGTTCCACTAGGAACCCAAGGAAACAATAATAATAATAACGGTGAAAATAAATACACCAAATGTGTAGAAGTTAGTCCTAAGTTATTACATAATCATCAGTCCGCAAGATTATGATGGCAGAGTAGTATAAAAGGACTATTCTCTGTCTGTAAATAACGAGCATTCATATTGTATAAGACTGTAATTCAGGAGTGATGTGCCGAGTGAAATAATTACTAACAAGTTAATAAAATCTATTCAAAGAACTTTCAATGCTGGTAAACTATAAGTCATATTTTCTACACCATGACACATGAATTACTTGAACATGCCACTTCTCTAAGGGTATCTACCAGTTTGACTGCGTTTGTGGAACGAGTTCAACTGACCATTTCTCTAGGAAATTGATTTTTCGTGCTCGTTCGGGAACAATTGCTAGTGTGGCTAAATAAAGGTGTAGTGAAAACTATCATCAACAGTTCGATATTAGACAGCCTGGTATCAAACGAGTCACATAGCAGGCTAACATTGAAGAATCCTTCTCTCCATCATCTATCGGGTATCAAATATACTGCCAAAAGCATCTAGGTACCGAATACTCCAAACAGTAGAGGCTATTGGGATTCACCTAAAACAACCGGTGCTCTCTGTAAGTGTGTGCAGAAGAAACAGATCCAGCTAGCCAATATTACTTTCCTGACCTTCCGTCAAGCCTATAAATTCATGGATTCTGTACTATTATTACTATGTTTCCTAATTTGTCTGATATTTGGTGTGTTGTGCTATGAAAGTGAGTCGGTGGCACAGCGGTAGAGTGCTCGCCCACCACGCAGGTGGTATGGGGTTCGATCCCCAGCCGACGCCAGTAGTAAGAGTGGCAAAGAAGGAAGTTTGGGCATGAGGTTAGCAATCCCATCCCGTCAAAATAAACACCACTGCTGCAGAAACTTCAAGTCTCTAGCCTGAAGCCCTATGTTCCACTGGGAACGTAAAGGAATAAAAAAAGTTCTATGTTGATGCCTATTATCACACTTACAAATGCTATTGAACTGTAATCTATTCACATTATTGATTGATTCGATGTTATTTAAACCTTAATATTAATTATTATGGATGCGTATGACTGTAGAACCTGATGAAGAACTGGTTATCAAAAATGCGAATATTCTTTGTTCAATAATCAGTCTTTTGAAGCTTTAAAAGCTTCGTCCGTGTCAGCCCGATGTCCAGTATAGACCACCAGATGAGCTCATATTTAGCTGCATATAGCTTTACTCAATGTTTTGCCTGAGCAACACAGGTGGCGTTTAGAAATTCGCCGATGAACTTGCTTAATCGTGCGCCTAATTTAAATAGCTCCACAGGAGCAGTTAAATAAGTAAATACGCATAAATATTAATGTACAGTCATTGGAGAAGGACTAACTTAAAAGGAATATGTTATTTCCCCAAAAATCGTTTCTTTTTCAAAATCTAGATTTAATAGGTCATGGAGGTATAATTGAGATGAAATTGTTAACTGTATCAGGATTCAACAGAAGCACTTTTCGAGTTCATCATCAGTGCGCACACATCACCAGAGTACGAACCCAGGACCTTCTGGTTACAAGACTAGCTAGCTCGTAGACCATTAATTCAACCACCGGGAGCCGATCCAATAGTCAGTGTATGAATTCTAACTTCTGCCAATTCATGACATAGCGCGACCACTTCCCAATGTCTTCTTCATTGATGAGTTACTGCCTCACCTTCAACCTTCTGCACCTTACTGGTTACGGCTTCCCACTATAACCCCAGTTTAACTGCATGAATAGGGCCAGTAGCTAGTGAGCATTAGATTAATTTTCAAGTATTGATTTTTGCAAGGAATTATGTTTGATTGGCTGGAGGATTTCATCATGAGCTGACATCAGTTAGAGAACCATTGGGAATCCTGGAAGTACTGGACAGCTGTTCCGTCCTAATTTGGGGCTCTTCATCGGTACGCACCCACCTAGCAGGTACATACCTGCTAGCGATACGAGCTCTCCTCGTAACTCCAGTGGGGGCGTACTGCTGAAGAGTCTCAAGCTAGGATGGTCGAAACAGCTGTCCAGTTTTTGAATTGCTTGTCTGGTAATCTGCCAGCTGAGCTATGAGAATCCAATGCACACCAGTTCAGTATCTCATTGAAATCATCATGTGTTATGCTCAGTTATCGTGTGAGTGAAGCAAAGCTTACTATCCTCTGTCCACATCACATGATCCACCTATCTGAGTAGTGTTCAATCCTTTCAAACGTAATCATAATGGAATAAACACAGAGAGAGACAGAGAGGAGCAGGTAGTTAACTGATGGTGACACTGTCAGAGATGATCTGCCGTTGGCAAATCAACAGTTATTGATGTACTAGATAATGCTTCCAGGTGAGGTGAAAATCTGGGTCGTAGCAGCCAATGGAATAGTAAATGGACAACAGCCTATCATTCACATTCACTCATATTACAGGTTGGCCTTATCGTGGTGATTGCAGTAAAACTGTGGCCTAGTTAAAACTTCAGTTCTGTAATAATGAGAAAGAATTGCACCTCAGGAGGATGATTTTGGTGTGATTGTGTACTCTGACCTAGGTGATTTCATTGTTAAACTTTTATTGTCCCTCTAGGCAACTTGGTTGAAATGTAAGCTTTAATATAAAGTGAAATTAAGTAAAATCTTTCCTCATGAACGATCTAACTGTATCTCCTGATAACCTTTGTTGTGATTGGTTGTTAATTTGTACTAGTATTGATCGTTTTTTATGGACATTGGGATTTGATTTCCTTTGTCATGTGACTTATTCTATATGAGTTGATAAATCGGATCTATAATAATATGTTTGTCAGTGAGTAATAACATACAAGAAAATTCCCCATTAAAAAATTGGAGCAGAGAAAGAACAGCAATGGACATTGGTGCAGAATAACATGGATCTATTTCACTTCGTTGGTTCATCTCATCAGCTGCGTACAACCTATAATCTTTAATAAACTAAGTTGGTGTACAATTTTAACATACTTTTACCTAGACAAAACAATAAGAAGACAAAATTTGTCTGAATTGTGTTGTAATTTATTTGCGTAAAAATTACTTCTAACAATCTGTTCACACATGAACTTGTCATAGGAATACATATGAAATTAATAAAGAGTTAAGAGGTGAGAAAATAAACTTAGGTCAAGTTAAAAGGACATATTGAAGGTCAAAATAACAATGAAGATCAACCACTAAACAAAATATCAGGGGTAATAGTACATCTACCCTGGCTAGTATCGAAACAAAGTTTACTAAGGAAGGTAAGTTTAGTGTGATGACGAATTGTTGCTGTGATCGCACCAAGGTGGTTTAAACTTCCTAATTACCAGCTAGGGCTTCTACAAACTTCAGGACGCGCCCCAAACACGTTTTAGGCATAAGTTTAAAAGACATGTAGACATCAATTTTATGTCCTGTCTCTGTAATATGTGTTTTTAAGTAGATGAGCTAGGTCTATGTTCTCACCATTAATGGGTTCTGGAATATTGTAAGTGTGTCATAGTGAAACGAAACATCAGGAAAATTGATTGACAAATTTGTTGTCACGGTAGTAACAAAAATTAGTAACAATTACGTAGTTAGATAAGGGAATATCGAAATTTGGTGTGCAAAAGGTCAAATCAGAAAATGATTATGCAGTGGGGTGAGTAGAATTTAGAAAGTCAAAGAAAATGATCGCCTATAGGAGGCAAACGGACAAAAGAGTGCGACTGGTGGGTTGAAAAGATAAGTTAATGAAAACAGAAAACAGTGAGTTACTAAGGATTTAGTCACCAGGGTAACTGAAGTCCGAAGTCAGATTCCTTTTGAACACATAGGTTAGCTTTCAGCCGTTTTATTGAGATAGCCTCAGCAAACTCAAGAACCCTCGAGTTCTCTTGTCAGTTAATTATTCCGAATAATCTCAGCGCGTCTGTTTGGTGTCCTGGGTCTATCAAGTGTTGGGTGATTGAAGAGCTTAAACTTTTCGACCCCTTTAACCTGCAAGCTCCTTGGTAAATGTTTCAATAATCTGACGTAGGCCCTCCTTTCTGTTCTTCTAATGTAGCTGCTAGTGCAGAAATATGTGAATAGGTATAAACAGTTGGAGGTAATATATTACGGATACTTGTCAATTTTTGATTGCAATAAATCGGAGGACGTCTGGGGCAGATAGATTAGTTTTTCTGCAGGATATGTCCTGGACAGAGCTGAGCTCAGTATTTTATTTTTTACTCTCATAATATCGTCACCTTTGAAGTCGGTGATGAGAAACAACGTAAAAAATTAAATCAATACTATTCTGCACCAATGTTTATTGATTCTCGGTTCAAATCACTAATTAGTCGAAGTATCAAGATCCTAGGAATCCGCTAGAATTCTCGGTGTTTCCACCAAGTCAGTAAAACGAACAACTTCGGATGGAAACTAACAACGGATCACAACAAAGGTCGTCAAGAGAGACAGTGATATCAGACATGGAGAATTCAAATGAGTTCGCTTCATATTAAGGTTTGCACTGATGATGTTGATGAAAACTTCACAGTTATAAACTAGTCAGCCCAGAGAATACAACCAAATCAAGAACTCAGTTCTACATCTCAACTGGTACAAAAACGTGACAGTAATTTAGAGGCTGCTGGTTTCATTAATGCCACAACCCAGATTGGTTGATTGGTTACAAATAACATTTGGAACATCTGAATAATACACCGTGGGTTACACTGTTCTACATCGGATATCTGATATATGACGATGAATTTGTCCAGATATCTACAAAATATTATTATTATCATTACCATTGAAATTGTTAATACGACTAAAAGTGACCACTACTTTCTATTAAAAAAAGGCGAAAATCCTCAGTAACCCCAGTGAAGCCTTCACTAAAACGAATTGATAACAAAAAGGAGAACAACTTTTATAAAATGGACCATTTTAGTAGAAAAATCATTCTCTGACAGAGTTCAGCTGAAACATAAACGTTTAAAACCGACGAAAATGTGAAGAGTCTGCCTAAATCAGACCAAGATAACCTACCATCTAAGCAATTTATAGTTTCCCACAACTTCGACAAAACTTTATTCAATTTTCCACATTAGTTTGTTTATTAGATGTAATACACAGTGAAACAGTTTTATTTACTGGATGACACAGTTTCGAACAAAATTTATTGCCGTTCATAATCATAACATCAATTATAATCACACGACTTCGAAACTTGAGTTTTGCAGTTTTCTTTGTTCTCTACTATTTGTCGTCGTAGGTAGGGGTAGTAGAATTTTCCAGAAATCTGTGTGGACAGGTCTTGAATCATTCTTATTACACGTATTCCCTCTCAGTTGATAGGATAGGAAATCTAGAGAATTTCACTTTTATGTTTAAAAAATTACTACTGTTCACACATTTTACAGGTGGCTATTTATCCACAGAAAACCCTCGCTTTGCTACAACATGCCATTCGTAACCAGTGATTAACAGAAACTATATTGGCTTTACATTCTCTGTTATTATGATATTGGCTACATAAAAAGTCTTTTTGACAGCCAATATCATAATAATAGAGTATGTAAAGCCAATATATCTATCTCAGCCCTTTGAACATGCGAAAAATGATGTCACATCCCACTGTATTTGCCAATTTGAATGTACGTGTGGACACACATACATAGGTAGGACTCTCCGCAAGTAAAGGCTGGCTTCAGCGCATATTCCTAAATGGTTCCAGAAACAAACAGAATCTTCAGAACCCATTAATGGTGAGAACAGGAGACCTAGCTCCTTTACTTAAAAACACATTATATAGACAGGATATAAAATTTACGTTAACAGATCTTTTAAAGCTGTCTATAAAACGTGTTCGGGGCGTATCCTAAAGTTTGTGGAAGCCCTAGCAGTTAGAAAGTTTAAGCCACCTTTATGCGTTCAAAAACAATTCGTCATCACATTAGACCTTCCATGGTAAATTTTGTGTTGATACCATAGCAGATGTACTATTACCTCTACTATTTGGTTTAGTGGTCTTCATTGTTATTTTGACCTTCGATATGTCCTTGAAACTTGACCTAAGTTTGTTTTCTCACCTCTTAACTCTTTATTCATTTCATCGGTGGCACAGTGGTTAGGACTCTCGCTGACCATGCACATGGTCCAGGGTTCGATTCCCTGCAAACGAACACCCGATATCTATGGTCGGCCTGCAAAATTTGGGCTGCCGATGTCTCATGCTGAAAATTCCATACTTGTACTGAAAATACGGTGTGGGATCAAGCTGTAATAAAAGATAAACAAAAATATTTAAAAATATATATATTCTTATGACAAGTCCGTGTATTGTGACCAGATTGTTCAAAATGTGTTGCGCAAATGCACATTACACGATTCAGACAAATTACGTCTTCTTAATGCTTTGTCGAAATTCATAAAGGGAACTAATCGTTTTAAATTATGAAACAATCTATGATAATTTTTTTTACTGCACACTTATTATGCAATAAATTACGATAGTTTCAAACTCAGTACTGGTGAATGTAAAAAATGTCAATAATTTGTCAATAATATGTGTAATTTACACAACACACAACTCTGTACCACCTTCCACTGTACTGTTCTTCATATTGTTATGGAAAACACTTTGAATGCCAATAGTGTTATTGGATTCGTCCTGAAGAAAAATCGACCAACAGATTATTGAAAACTTATATGGTAGAAAGGGGATTTATAATGCATTGAAAATATTTTGATTGGATACTGGTAACTAGTGTGACGTGTCTAGTCCTTTCTTTGGTGCAGACTGAATTGTATCAGTCAGTCAGGTTTGAAATGTGGCCACCATTCTAGGTAGCTCGCCATCACGGTTCACATTGATTTGATGATATTAGATGATGGTTGGAGGCGATTGGCAGGAAGCCTTGGACCTAGATAGAATGTAGAGTCTTTAACACTGAATTTGATTTCATATTAACTGTTATATGATTGGTCGACGTAAAGGTCAAGTGTGATTGGCTGTCATCAAAGTTTACAGATATTTTTCAAAATAATATTACCTGTTCTGAACACTTTCTACTGATGATTGACTTTAGATCATCCATGGAAACTTTATTATCCTTTAAATGACATAAACTAGCTTGTAGAAGACATTTTATTATTGGTTTTTCTAATTGATTTGCTCCTTTACAACACAATGAAGCTGTTTGTATTAAACCTATTGTCCTCAGCGTAACTGCTGTTTCAGAAAAGTGAATTTCAACACCATATACTGATAACTGGATAAACCATGAAAGAATTCCATAGAATATTGACATTGATTCTATTGAATGATAATTATTGTTTAAAATTGATTGTTTGAATTGACCGCCAGCATTATGTTCATTGGATTCAAGGGATTCATTTAAAGCTTTGACAATCATTAATTGATCAATTGCAAGATGAATAAACATATTATCAGTAGTATTGTTTGCTTGTTTTATTTCCAATGGTATTATTGGAATAGCTGGAGTGAAACTCACTTTCTGGAATGTAATAAAGGAAAGGCCAAGCGATAACAACAAAGAATGGACACCACAGTCAAATGACCTTGAACCAACCAATCAGATTCTTCTAGGTGAAGTGACATTTAAGGCATAAGATATATATATGTAATAAAAAGGAATTATACAGGGTATATATCTCTAATATGCCGTAAAAATTGGTCCGCGTTTCTCATAGGAGTGTCTTTGCACATATCAAACTAGTGTCGGTACAAAAATTCATCTAAGTGGTTGTATATCATTTCGAGAACCAATTACCATTCTAGTACACTTTTTTCAGGTAGGCTCAGAATCCTTCAATGGAATTTGTATGGATTCCATTTATAAGATCCATTAATTTCGGAAGAATGATTGAGTTTATGACGAATATTGCCTAAATGGATTTTGACTGTCTCAAACAGAATAATGTCTGGTTACAGGATTTCATTATGAGCTGACATTGGTTAAAGAACCATTGGAAAACCTGGTGGGTTTACTGGACAGCTGTTTCGTTCTAGTTTGGGACTCTTCAGCGGTACGCACCCACCGAGGTTCGAACCCAGGACCTTCTGGTCACAGGTTCTGTTGATTCTTGTTCAATTGTTTTAGTAACCTAAGTGGATTTTTGAATCACATTCAAATAGGAGTAAGTAAGCTATCATCGCATCAAACAATTGGAACTCTGTGGTTAGAGGTCTTGTATTTCCTATCTACTGAATTAGATCATTACTCTATGAAAATATGTACCAAATTTACGCGTATTTAGCCTAATATTATTATTACCTCATTGACTAACAGATCTCTCAGTTGTGTTTTATCCACAGATTTCAATAATTCTTCACAAATCTCTTCTCTTTTCATTTTTCGAATTTCATTCATTTTTCTGTAGATAAAACAAGCGAAGAAATCGATAAACAACGAAAAAGAACGAATGAATAGTTGATAGATGTGAATATATGTTGAAACATACTTCTGGAAGTAAACAGAGAACAATAGTTTCATAAGAAATTACAGGATGTTTGTTATCTGATATCGCTGATTCCTTTCAACCGCTTACAACCAACAAAAACAACCTCTATGCTGAAATCAAATGAGTATAAAATTCATTCACTGTAATCCAACTGATTTAATAAGTTGACATTGATTCTGAGTAGATAAAGATGCTCTGAGAAGTTCATCAGCAAAACACATGACCAATAAAGGAGAAAAGAATTCTTCTGTACCCATTGTTATTAGGAAGCCTCTCTATATGTTTATGCGACTGCAATTCAAAGGGGATATATCAAGTAGAATAATAACCAACGAGTTGAGAAAATCGATCCAAAGAAGGTTTAATGCCGGAAAGCTGTAGTTCATACTATTCACATCACTGCTTGTGACTCCGAAATTGTAAGATGAAGTACCGAGGCTAGTCACCTCTAATTGTACCTGACAGTTCAACTGTTCATGTGGAGCCACTTATATTGACCATTACTCTACGAACTTAATTCTTCATGCTCGGGAACAGTTACAAGTATGGTCGAATAAAGGCGTTATCAAAAGCGTTAACAGTTCTGTACTGGACTACCCCGTATAAACAGTCTACAAAGGTAGCACTGAAGGATCTTGCTGTATAATGCACCGGCTATCAGATAAATTGTGGTGAGAGATATCTGAAAGCCAAAAATTGTAGACAACAATTTACGGCAATGTTTACGTCCCATATCGAAAAGCGATATAGGCAGATTTTGATTGGCTGTTGGCTAGCTGGCTTCTTATTGGTCTAAAATATAAGTAAAAATGGCAGTCTCTTTATTTTGACACGGAAAGTTACAGTCAGTTTAAAGTCAGTCTTAACTTACCATAATATAACGGCGTGTTAATTTTTTTGGTGTGAGTGTAGTGTGATAGTCACACGCTATTTGGATGCATTTGTAGTATTTAAAGTACATTGAGATATATGGGAATGTCTAGTAAGTGAATATAAGTTAACAATAATTTTGATGCATTCATTTTAAGTCCAAAATAGGATGTATGCATTTTTTGTTACTATGGGAATAGAATTCAATAAAAATTGCTAAACGTATAATGTGTCTAATTTTGGACATGTAGATATATGTATGTATTAAATGATCTACTTTTTTAAGTTTTCAGTTTAGTGACCTGTGGGAATTGCACATACTAGGTCAACATAAATAAAGTAAATTTCCTATGTCACAAAAGTGGTATATAAGCAATGAAATGCATACAACTGTTCATTTACTTGAAATCATTGTGTTGTGCACGTTAGGAATTGTTAGAACCATTAAATGATGTTGCAAAGTACTCCTACTGCGTCTACTTCACGGAATGTGTCATCTATATTGTGTGATGTAACAGCTACATTCCAAAGGATAATGCTTTGCTGTGTATTTTATACATGGATGCAATTTAAGGAAGCTTTAGATGCATTTATGAAGGTACTAACTAAGTTGTTCATTATTTCTTTGAAAGGAATCCAACACATGGTATCGGGTTGATTCCAGTAAAAAGGATCCATCCGGTCCTATGGAATACGAGCATGTGACGTTTAAATGCACTTTTGCAAGTAAACGTGCTTCCCGAGGTGCTGGCTTTAGGAACAGAGGGTAAGTTTACTGTCTATGTAAATTTTAACAATTTCAAGGTTCAAAAGTACTTCATGTCAATCAGTAATTACAGTACGGCGCAAATCCAACATATACAGGATAACAAAGTACCAAACTGTGCATAACCATCCATGCACAGCAAGTTTCATGTCCATTGATGTATCTAGACGTCGGTTATCACCACAAGAAATGGCAGTTATACAACCGTTCATTGAAAGGAATACTGATGTCCATGAAGTAATGGATTTAGCGCATGATAAATTTGGCAAAGCCCTGCTGTTTGATGATATTAAAAACATGCGGGCTAGGATGTATAAACGTAAGTCGTATGAAAATAAATGGTGCAGTAGAATAGAAATCGGCAGTTTGGAAGACCTGCTTCATCGACTAAGACAGACAGGTGCAGTTAGTGTTCTGCATGACAACGCAGGCTTTGTATCTAAAATTATTTTCGCTCGCAATGATATGATAGACTTGTATCATAAGTTTCCAGAAGTAGTTGGAATTGATTGTACCTATAAAACGAATAAGATGGGGTAAGTTGCAGAACAAGAAGGGGTAAATCCTTCTCCTAATTTATTACAGATGGCCTTTATATCAGTTTGTTGTGACTGATGGATTCGGAAGAGGAAGGACTGTTTTGTTTGCTCTGACTAGGAGAGAAAAGTTTGCAGATATCAAGGAGATATTGCAGACATTTAAGAGATTTATGACTGATACATCAAAAACACTAACATTCACTGTCGACTGTGCAACTGCACAGATTAACGCTTTAAAGGAGGAATTCCCTAGGTGCAGTATTGTTTTATGTCTTTTCCATGTATGCCAGGCATTCCGAAGGAAGGTAAGCTGCATTCCCATTAACTACCTTAGCGAGAACAGTTCCCAAATAAACTTGTTAAAAAGTGGTTGTATCGAATGGCGCACACGCGCAGTTACAACAGGTAGGTTAACAAATCGGAATTTATTGCCAAAGGTTTTGGACTTATCTAAATCTCATTAGTGTTATAGACGCTGAGGCTGGTGCTTACATTAGAAGGTACTGGCTAAGAACAAGGAAATATTGGGCTGCATCGTGCAACCGGTTCGCCATCACCATGGGGAACAACACTAACAACAGAGTTGAGAATGCTCACAGGCAGCTGAAGAGATATTTACGTAAAGGGGATCCGCTGGAACTGACTTTATGGAAAATATGGAAGTGGATTGACCACACAACGATGCGTAAAATACGTCAGGGCCAGTGGATGCTTTGTAAATACTGCAATTACGATGTAAGTTTGAAGATAATTTACGATTTTTCCTAGGTACATACTTCCCTGCAGCCCATATTACGGCGTCTCACACCCTTTGCTGCCAAGAAAGTTTTCTTAGACTTGCAAAGGCGATCCTTCTTCTTTCATTCAATATCTTCCACTTCAGTTAATTACGCAGAAGGTGGTCACATGTTCTTCGTAAACAGGGATGAGGCGAAATGCACGTGTTGGACATACTGTGCATACAATTTGCCATGTGCTCATGTCGTTGAGGCTTTCTTAAATTCATATCTAACCTGTGGTAAGTTCTATTTCCTTAATTGTTACTCTTAGATATTCTGAGAAATAGTGACAGGTGGACACGTCAGTACAACACCACGGAGGACATTCCACGAGCCATCCGCCTAACACCGGAACCGAACAACGCGTTCAGAAATGCTTATGAACGTTTAAGACGTCGTCTCAACATTCTGAACCAAAGAAATCCGGATGCTGCACTGCGGGAAGTAGCAGAGTTCACAAGAAGGTTGGACACTTTGCTAGCAAATGAACCGCAAACAACTTTGAGATTACGACGTGCCCCTGTTAATCGATCATTTTTGTGAAAATATTTGCATTACCTTATTGTTTCCATTTGTATTCACAATATAAACATCTATGTCTAAACTGTGTTACACTTCCTTTCCCTTCAAATGCCTGAGAGAGACAGTTTAAAGCATACTTTGGTTGATTGTTTCCTGATGAGAGCGCTTGGCAAGTCAGTTACAAATTACACCGATTTGTGCCTTATGTAATGCGTTTTATCAGCCGAAGATTTCTAGTTCATAGCATATCGCGAGTAACGGCGACTAATACGATTTATTGCCTATACCGTAATCACCCCAGGCTTACAACAATTCTAAACTTATTCTAACCTATTCTTCGATAATGCTTATTAAGAAGAACAAGGTGATGAATTACAGCCGGTCATGCGGATAAAACAATCCCACAGTTCCGGTTCAATCACATTATGAAACAATGGCAAACCAGTTAGGGAGTTCATTTATTAAATAGTGTTACTATACTATCATAGTGCACGTGAATTAGCTCAATGATTGCAGGTTTACCATAATCCTTAACTACCAACATAATAAGTGGGAACTTCTGCCTAAAAACAACCTTACTAGTAGCATCCAGTGACAGAAAACTGACCTACATACTCCAAAACAAGCAAAACGTTCAAAAAAACCTTTAAAATTCAATGGAAAACGAATTCATGAAAACATATAACCAGTAGACGCAGGAACCCATCATGACCTTGAAACTGACTATAGCGTCTTTCGTCCCATATCGGGGTCATGAGAAAAAACAAGAATAAAGCCTAACCTTGAGGAGCTCAACAACCAATCACAGCAGACTTAACGTGTGGAAATGTGATTCGCAGATATATGGCTTAACTTTCTGAGAAATGGCCGCAAGCAGTACAGAATAACCTTCAGCAAGAAGACAACCAATCAGATGAGATTGCTTCTCCGCTAACAATAACGCTAATAATAGTATATATAAAAATCTATAAATATCTGTTGGTTTTCTCAATAAACGATCTGTTTCCTGGCCATTGTCTTCTGTCGTTACAAAATTACCAAAGGCGTCTAGATACCGAATACTCCAAACATTAGAGACCATTGTAATTCGCCTAAAACAACCGCAGCTCTGTATTCAAAAGAAGCAGGTCCAGCCACTATTGTTACCCTGGTCTGCCGTTGAGCATAATTCATAAATTCTGTGTTACTTTCTTTTATTTATCTCATATTCAGTTAAGTGTTATATTATTACAGAACCTGATAACGAATTTATCGAAAAAAATATTTATTCATTCGTCAGTCTTTTAAATAAAGATGCTTCTCCCATCATAGATTCAATTTACTTGATAAAGTTTCATAGTTTTATATAGTTTTATTTACTGACGACTTTTTGAGCAGAATTTATTGCGCATAATTGTATCAAGGCACTAACACAACTTTCCAAAGTCAATGAAGTTGAGATAGAGAGATGACTGCCATTCCGAGCTCTGTTCAATGATGATCCGCAGTGTTGCGATTTGATCGATGCATGACTTGTTCCTCCTGAATCCAGCCTGTTCCGGTCGAAGTTTCTCATCCAGGGTTGTTTGATTCTCTCCAGAATGATGCGGCTTAGTATTTTGCTTGGGATGGACAGGAGCATAATTCCGCGCCAGTTCTTGCATTGACTTAAGTCTCCTTTCTTTGGAAGTTTGAATAAGTATCCTTTCTTCCAATCCGCAGGTACCTCACCCTCTTTCCACACCTTCTCCAGTAGTGGTGTCATCAAGTCCGCTGATTTCTCGGAGTTCATTTTCAATGATTCTGCTGGAATTCCCTCTGGTCCTGCTGCTTTTCCAGTTTTTTGCATTTTTATGGCCTTCAGGATCTCGGCTTTCGTCGGAGGGTTGGTATCCACCGGTAGTTCTGCTTCCGCTGTTGGTATTGTTGGGCGCGTTGTAGGTGTTGGTCGATTTAGGAGTCTTTTGAAGTGTTCAGCCCAGTGTTTCCTTTGCTCCACTTCTTTGGTGATTGATTTTCCATTGTCATCCTTCACTGGCTTAATTTGTGTTGAACTTTTCTCTGATAGAAACCTAATTGTTCGGTAGACTGTTGCGAGGTCTCCTTTGGCAGCTACTTCACTGCCACATGGTGCCGCCGGAAATTATACATCTCATCCAACAGTTGTACGAATATGCTGCATGCGAAGTAATCCACAACAGGAAACTCATGGAACTCTTCGAAGAAGTGAAGACGGGAGTGAGATAAGCTGGCTGCCTACAATCTCCAATGATTTTCCTGATTGCGATAGACTGGATAATGCGACAGACAGTGGGCAGCGAGGAAACAAGTATAAAATGGACCCATACAGAAAACTTGGAGGAAACATAAATAATAATAATGACACAACTTTCTAACTTCGATTTTCGTGTGAGCTTTGAAATTTTGGTATCAGCGGTATAATCATTGTATTGCTATTCGTCCCTTGAGTTTCTAGTGAAATATAGGGCTACCACTGCAAATCGACGTGACATTCTGTCTTCTGAAGTCCTTCCATTTCCTCCTCAAACAATATCCTCGATGTCCCACCCCATCCCCGGAAACCTAACCCATCGTTTCCCAATGAGATTTCACTCGAGAGCATTTTTGGCGAGTGATATTCTTCAGTTTATCTTCTCAGCGTATATCTACTCCATCTTCATTTATTTCCCTGTATTTTGGAGTTGATAGGTTTTTGGTTGATTCTTTACACTGTCAAACCTCATGTTGCTCATCATCTCCAATTGGCCATCTAATCTCTTGCGCCGAGTGAAAGCAACTGCTGATGAAAGTCCTCATTTTTAGGAGGTAACTTTCGGGGAGCGCAAGTAAACTCGCTGAACCATACGGGACCGCTGACTTTACATTAGTGTCGAAAGTTTGAATCTTGTCAATTATGATGAGTGCAGTAGAACTCCACACTGATTTCAGACCAATGAACGCCTGTAGTGACTTATTAACATAATCCTGACTTTGAGGTCTTTATCCACACCGTCTGTAGTTAAAAGGATCATGCTGGGTACACTGCAAGAGGTGATTTCCTTTGGATTTCTCGCTATGATGGTGATCGGTGTTTGTTAGTGTTAGCTGAATATCTTCATCACCTCGGTCTCCAGTGCGTTGACCCACAATTCTGTCTCCAGAGCTTCCCCCTATTAGTTTGTCCGTTTTCGCCTGTAGGTCTTCCAGTTTGTACAACACCGACCTTGAAATGAGAATGTGGATTGTGCAGGTTTCGAATCAACAACCTCTGGACAACCAGTTTAGAATCAGGAGTGTGGTCACCGTTTCTTCTATCTTAGGTAAATAAACTGGATTTCAGTCGATTAACATATAGTACCTTCATAAAAACCGGCTAATAAATCCAAAAGTTTATTGAATGTTAAATACAGAAAGAGACAGTCTGATACTCTGATCTTGTAAATGTATAAGGAACTTCATTTACATTCCGTCTTCAAAATCAATAGATATTCGTATTTTTTTACATTTCTCATTTTCAGTCAATGTTTCTGGATCACAGGACTTCAGGTGAACCTAAAGAAAGCAGAGGTGATGAAGATTCCTGGACAAGAACAACAACAACAGACAACGATCAGCATAAATGGGATGAACCTGAAAGAAACAACCTCTTTTACCTACCGACCTGGGAAGCATCGTTTCAGCTACAGGCGGAAATGACGAGGATATCGAAGAAAGGATCGGGAAAGCAAGCAGGCTTTCATTACTCTCATCAAGTCTATTTGGAGGTCAACAGCACTCAGCATCAAAAATAAGGTCCGGATTTTCAACTCCAATGTGAAGTCAGTGCTACTATACGGATCAGAGACTTGCACTGCGCGTCATAAAGGGCATCTCAAACAAACTACAGACCTTCATCAACAGCTGTCTCCGCTCAATACTCAAGATCAGATGGCCAGAAAAGATCAGCAATAGGGACCTGTGGGAGCAAACCAACTAGGAACCGATTGTGAAACAAATAGGCAGGAAGAAATGGAGATGGATTGGCCACACTCTGAGGAAACCATCAAGTGACATCACTAGACAAGCCCTTCAGTGGAACCTGAAAGGGAAGCGGCGAGTTGGTCGTCAGTGTGAGGGTGACTTGGAGGAGGTCATGTGGGCAGACATGGAGCCAGGTGTAAACTCTAGCAGAGAACCGAACGCAATGGAGACGCACGGCTGAAGCCCTATGTTCCTCTAGAAATTAAAGCAAATAATAATAATTCTGGATCACAAACCAATCTGTTTTATTCAGAAATATGAGCTTCGTGAATGGATAATTCAACACTGTTTTAATTCTTCCAGTTTGAAGTTATTTAATTATTAGGAAAGATAATATTACAAATTCATGAATTTATATTCTCTACTGAAAGCCGGACAGGGCAGCAGTAATGGCTGGGTGGACTTGCTTCTTTTGCACACAGAGCACTGGTTGTTTGAGGCGAATCGCAATAGCCTGTGCTGTTTGGAGTATGCGGTGCTTCGATGTTATTGGCAATTTATTTGGCACCCGGTAGATAATAGAGAAGGATTCTTCAATGCTGGCTATCTTTGTGGCCAGTTTGCACCAAAAGGTCCAATATCGAACTGTTAGTGGTTTTCACTACACCTTTACTTAGCCACTGTGGGAGATGTTCTCGAGTGAGCACGAAAAACCAAGTTCCTAGAGCAACTGCCAGTATAACTCGCTCCATCACAAGCGCAGTTGAATTGGTAGATACAATTTGAAGTGACTAGTCTAGGTACTTCATCTTTCAGTCAAGGAATCACCACTGGTCGTGTAGAGAATAAGAAGTGTAGTTCGCCAGCATTAAAAGTTCTTTGAACTGATTTTCTTAATTTCTTCGTAATTATCTCACGAAGTATATCGCCCTTGAATTGTAGTCGTATATAAAATGGCTTCTTGTTTACAGATAGTGAGTAGTCCTCTTCTGCTTTCTTTGTCATGTGTTTCTTGATAAATTTGTCAAGATGGCTTGTCAAGATCAAAGTATCATATACAATGCTTAATTCATCTTCAGTTACTTCTTCTAAGCATATAGCTCTAATTCTGTGGCTGAGGGTCTTTACTAAATTTCTTTTGTATTTGACAGGAACGAGGCTGTGAAAATGTGTGTATACTGTCCTGTCCAAGTACTTTTTCTATGCAAATTTCTTTTTATGCTACCACCTGGTTTTCTTGTTAGCAGGACATTCAGGAAGGCCATTCATTCTGTTATGAGATTCCTCTTCGCACGTGAATTTCATTGCCGAATGTACTTCATTGAATTCAGTAATTACTGTACTCCTATCCGAATCATTATTACAAAGAATGAAGGTGTCATCCATATACCGGCAATAAAATGAGAACTTTCTGATAAGGTTGTTTTGAAAATATACATGATTAGTTTGAATCATAGCGCCAAATCCATTTTAAAGTTCTACCTATAAAAATATTGTGTAACATAACAATGAATTTATAAAAATCAAGTGTGAAACACTGACAAAGCATAAGGGAGAAACCCACAATGTTTCTAGATGATTTCCCAATGTATTTGAGTCGACTTTATCCCTAATGTTTGTTTGATACATTGACTCTGTAGACTGATTTCCATTTGATCGCTTTTCAGGTGATTTTACACAGGTCTTCTGATCTTCTGTAACTTGCCTAAAAAATAATAAAATAATATTCAGGAGTTGGTTTTCAGGGATTTGATTGGTTACAGCACTACATCATGAGCTGATATCTGTCAGAGAACTGTTGGAAACCAACCAGGAAGTACTGGACAGTGGTTTCGCCAGCCTAGTTTGGAACTCTCCAACAGTACGCACTCATCACTGGGGTCCGAACTCAGGAGCTTCCGGTTACAGCGTAAGCTAGCTCTTAGACTATTAGACAGTCGGACCCGATCCAATGACCAGTCTATGAATTCCACATTCTGCCAATTCACGACTTAGCGCGACCACAAGCTGATTCATCGGTAAATATTTGTCCTCACACTCGACCTTCTATACCCCACTGGTCACGACTTCCCAACAGAACCTAGGTAACTACCTACTTAAATAGGGCCAGTCACTAGTGAGTAACAGATTAATACAACAGTGTTGGTTTGCAGCGATTTGATTGGGAATTGCCAGAAGTTGGAATTCATGGGACGTTGGATGGGGTCCTAGTCGCTCAATGGTCTACGACCTCACCTTGTAACCTGAAGGCCTTATGTTTGAACTTCGGTGAGTGTGTACTCCTGAGTAGTCACAAGCTAGATGGGCGAAACAGTTGTCCAGTAATCCCAAAGGGTTCTCCAGTATTTCTCTCACCGATGTCAGCTCATAATTAAATCCTGTAACCAATTAATATATATAATAATTTACTCGGAGCTATATACTACTAATTGACTGGGGTGAGTAGTTCGATACCACTCACACCAAACAGCAGTGCTTGCAAGCTACCTAAATCGAGGTGTTCTAAACAACGGACGTCTGTCTCACCCGTTTGGGTTGGGTGAGCTCATCAGCATCTGTCTGTCTGTCTGTATTCGACAGAGAACTTTGCACAGATGTGCGACAGTTCAAGTCGCCACACTTCCTCCTTGTAGCACAAAAAGCAAGAGAAGAAAGTAGAAGAAATATATAATAGAGGTAGTAAACAGAGGTGAGAGACAAAGGAATAGTAATAACGAAGAACAAAACAGTTTAACTGGAAATCATAAGTCACGAGAAGTGGATGCATCTGCGCCAGCCACTGGGAACGACAACTTTGAGCCACATTACCGATTGTCTCCAGCCTTCACTGGTTTTTACCGTCCTGAGGACCCCAACCAGTCAGGAAGTCTACACCTTCCTGCGTGTCTGGCTTAAACTAACTAATGTTAATTTAATTGAAATTGACAAATGAAGCCATGTTTTCGTTTGACCACCACTAACTCTTTTCTAACCTGACTCTATATCAGCTAACATTGCCCGTCGAGGAAGGTGATGACTAGGCACGCATACGTAAAACATGTCCTAACCATCTCAGTCGATGTAACAGCCTCGTCTATTGATTTCCCCTTCTTTCCTAGCACTCGACGCGTAACCTCAATATTGCTCACCTAATTATACAACTTCACACGGTAGATAGAGCTCAGGCACCTATGATCAAAGACAGCTAGTCAGGCTTTTCATCTCTTCCACTCTCAATGGCCAGGTCTCACAGCCATAAAGGAGGACGGAGAGGACTGCTGAGCAGTACACTCACCCTTTGGTCGATGGCCGGTCATCAGCATCTTATCTGGTTTGACCCAGCTCAGAGAGGCAAGTCAGTTAAAAACCACCCGAATTCTGGCCAGCTACTTAGACGAACTGGGTAATGCGTTAAATCAAATTCGCAAATCCCAAATTATTGTGATTTGAGCAATTTCATTCATTATGACAGTAATAATATACTACTGAAATGTAACATACATTTTATTTAATCTGCCTCTTTGTCTTCGAAAACGTTCCAGCCACAAACCGTTATCTTCTTCTTCCTCTGAGGAACTTGAAGATGATGATGATGTTGATGATGACGATGATTTCCTCGACGTAGATTTATGTTTTAAGTTATTCGCCCTTGAAAGAAAGGAAGATGATCAATGTACAGTATAACTCTATGCTTGTTTTACTTACTCAGTTGAATTATTAACTTTTTCAAAAGGTTTATTTTTAATCATATCCATATTTTTATCTTCTTGTATCTTATTCATTAGCGACTTCATTTGAGTTTGAAGATGGATAGAAGTATCATTTTCTTGAAGAATTTTCAAAAAAATAAAGAAAAATTAATTAAGTTATGAGTAAAATAATCAATGAAGAATAAATATTGTAGTGAGCCATTATTACTGGCTAAATCTCATCATTCAAAATTGAGATTTTGTCATTACAGTGAACTGCAAATCGATTTTAGGTGGTTAAACAGGAAACCCTTCATACGGTCTCTTGTTACCGAAGTCTATCTTCAGCCTCGAAGCAAATGACGTCCGCTAAGTAACTTAGTGTTTCAGTGATATTGTCAACAAAATTAAAGATCTATATTTATGAATTATGAGACGATTTTAAGCCTGATTACGAACTAATTTTATGAATCTATGAGATTGAAAAGAGCAAATCCACCTGAGAGATTGAGAATGACTTTATATGACTATTATATTAACATTATTTTTACCTTTGGTTCCTAATAGGACATATGACTTCAACACCACATCTCCACGTCGTCCTATATTCGGAGGCGCTCTTAATATGGCCCCAAGATTTTCCATAGTTTTTCATCTCCTCCTCGCACGATCTCCTCCATGTCGCTCTCACATGCCCAACTCATCGTTTCCCATTCGGGTGATGGCCTGCGTTGGCCTCTATTTCATTCTACGGTCTCCTTGGAATGTATCCAGTCCATCTTTTAAGCCTCTGGTATTTTTTATTTTGAAGAACCTCAATCAAACAATATGCGCCTTTCCATGAGACTCAAACCAGGTATCAGGAACTTGATGGATTCATTCCATCTCTTATTGTGACCACCTCTGACGTGCCTCCTGTCTAATTCTGTCACGTAACATTGTTCCTTTAGTAAGGGGATGACTCGGCAGGCTTAATTCATGTCTTAGGAGTTTAAATCAGTGTAACTCCAGACCATCATAGACTGGCATCCTTAGGTAAAACCATAATTCTAACCTCATTCATTATTGATAGTATTACACCACTTAACAGAGAGGACTCAATGGTAAAATGTGGTAAGCTCCTTCACATAATCCACTTCCAGTGCTCACTAGTCACAGCCGCAAAGAAGGACGTTGTGGACTACAATACATAAGTTCTTCGATAGACTGACGGCTACCACACCTGCACCAAAGGAGATGACGATGAAAGTGATAAGCAACCTAGAGATTAACCCAGTCACATGTGAGGATACAGCGACGCATCTATTTATACAGTAAGACAGGGAAAACCTTAAATGCTTCTTTAGAAGGAAAAAGGCGAGACAGACATTAATTTCTGAGTCAGCTCAATGTCAATCATTCAAGTTAATTTGTTTCAGAGTCGGCGAATAAAATCGATCGAATTTGTATTTATATGCCTCAATTAGCAGATTAAGTGATTTGCTCCTCATCATTAGTTGCAAAGTGATATAGACTCCAGAAGTAAATCCACTATCACACTGTAGTGAACTCGAGATTAATACTTCTGAAGAGAACCATGTAAACTATTGAAATGTTTTAAAATCACTTGGAGTTCACCTCATATGAAAAATTTTACTAAAACATATTATCTACTAACAATTAAAATAAGTAGTTTACTTTTTTCCTCAACATTTTTATGCGTAGCACTAAATTTCCTCTGTATACTAGCATATCTGTCAGAAGTTCGTTGTAAATATTCAATGATTGAATTGTTTTTATGAAAGCTTTCTATAGCCGATTTATCATCTGTTTGAATGTAAAACAAGAATAAATCAATGTTCAATTTTAAATATTTTCAAACCATATTCAATTTCTGTTGGATTGAAAATTGAATTCAATTGTTCATCGGATACTTTATATTGTTCTAAGAATTCATCTAAATGTAGAAAATATTGGAAAAAATGAAAAAATTTTCAAAAAGAGAAGAAATTACTTAATTCCTTATACTTTCCATCATCACCATCATCAGCAGCAGCATTATCACCATCACTAAAAGTTTTCAATGTTTCATTTGGAAAGTATTTTTGATAATTCTCTCTCCGATAAGTAGTAGCGCTAGTTATATTACGTTTTTTGATGAAAGGAACTTTTCTTAACTGATTCGATGAAGATTTTACGATTTCAGATGACTTTTGTTTATTCTGAAGATAATTTAACCATTTTGCTTCAGATACAGGATCAAAATTCCCTGTTTTTAAATTATATTCATCCATTTTTTGTTTTAACTCTTCAAATGCTTTCTAGAAAAATTTCAAACAAATCAGCAAGATGAAATTTAATTTGAATGTAGCGAAAAAAAATCCTGATTAACATCAAGTATTATGTGAACAGATCTTGAAATAGTTAGCACAAGGACAGTTTATGTATTTTCAAGTCTACTGGAAGAGGAACTTTGAGGAATAAACATTCATATAAAGTCACTGATCATTTTCAGGTATTGGTTTGTAAGGAGTTCGTTTGATTGGTTGGAGGATGAAATCCTGCAACCTAGGAGTACTGGACAGCCGTTTCGTCCTAGTTTGTGACTCTTCACAGTATGCACCCACTGAGTCGAAATTTAGGAGAGTTACTCATCGAAGAAGACATTGCGAAGTGACCGCCCTATATCGTGAATTGGCAGAAGTTAGAATCCATGCAATGGCCATTGGATCTGGTTCAGTGACCTAATGGTCTACGAGCTCGCTTCGTAATTATAAAGTCCTGGTTACACCTCACTGCATGCGTGCTGCGGAGGGTCCTAAACTAGGACGAAACGGCTGTGCAGTACTCACAAGTTTCTCAGTGGTACTCTAACTGATGTCAGCTCATGAAGAAATCCCCCAACCAGCCATTTATTATTATTATTATTACTTCGTTGCGAATGGAACTCAGGGTTTTAGCGACACATCTCCAATGTGCTGGATGCAATGCCATCATCTTCAGTTAGATGTGTAACTGCTTGAAAGCTTTCACTTCTCTATCGAATGATCTCCCACATGTTAATTTCGGACAGCCTACTTGTCGCTCCACATTTGGGATTTGATATCATTGAGAGGTCTAAAAGCCAAATGGGCATTTCAATCGTTTGGTGACGAGATCATCAATGTTCCTTTCAGTTTGAATCACCTCAGAAAGCCAAATTAGTTCAAACCACCTAAATTCTCACTCACTGCTTAGGCGGACATGTAATGCATTGAATCAGACTTATGTTTTCCAAGTATAAGGATAATGGTACTTACCAGTAAACAAGGCGTATCTGCAATCCTGAAGGAACTCATATCCCTCCTGAGATTCGAGCCCGTGTCACTCAGTGCTACAGTCAGAAATGTTGCCACTGAGATATCAGGGCTCGCGATTGACCTCCTGTAGGATTGTATTGGATACTTTGATTGAACACTAGTTAGTAACTAGTGTCATGCGTCTAGCTCTTTGTTTGGTGCAGACTGAATTCTTCCAGCCGGGATATCTCAGTCGTAACATTTCTGACTACAGTACTGGGTGACATGGGTTCGAATCTCAGGAGAGAAACCAGTCCCTTAAAGATTCCAGATATGCCTTGCTAGCCAGTTATTATTATTATTGTTTCCTTCAATTCCTAGAGAAAAATACGGCTTCAGCCGTGCGTCTCCATTGCGTTCGGTTCTCTGCTAGAGTCTTCACCTGGCTCCAAATCTGCCACACGTTTTCATCTCCTCTTCACATGACCTCCTCCGAGTCACCCTTGCACTGACGACCAACTCGCCGCTTCCCTTCCGGGTTCCACTCGAGCAATGGCTTGTCTAGTGATGTCACTTGCTGGTTTCCTCAGAGTGTGGCCAATCCATCTCCATTTTTTCCTGCCTATTTGGTTCACAATCGGTTCCTGCTGGGTTGGTTCGCTCATTGCCAGAGATCTCTGTTGCTGATCTTTTCTGGCTATCTGATCTTGAGTATTGAGCGAAGACAACTGTTAATGAAGGTCTGTAGTTTGTTTGAGATGCTCTTTATGACACACAGTGCAAGTCTTTGATCCATCCGTATAGTAGCATTGACTTCACATTGGAGTTGAAAATCCGGATCTTAGTTTTGATACTGAGTGCTGTTTACCTCCACACAGACTTGAGAGTAGTGAAAGCTTGTCTTGCTTTCTCGATTCTTGCTTTGATATCCTCGTCAGTTCCGCCTATAGTTGAAACGATGCTTCCCAGGTAGGTAAAAGAGGTTGTTTCTCTCAGGTTCCTCCCATATTTGCTGATCGTTGTCTGTTGTTGTTGCTGTTGATGGTGTTGCCCATGAATCTTCATCACCTCTGTTCTATCTATGTTCACCTGAAGTCCTATCTTTGATGCTTCTTCTGCCAACTTGTTGCTTTTCGCTTGCATATCTTCCAGTTTTTGTGGGAAATCAGACATATATCATCGGCGAAGTCCAAATCCTCCAAGTTTCTTGTGTGAGTCCATTTTATGCCTGTTTCCTCATTGCCCACTGTTTGTCGCATTATCCAATCTACTGCAATCAGGAAAATCATTGGCGATAGTAGGCAGCCAGATTGGTTTACTCCTGTCCTCACTTCGAAGAGTTCCGTAAGTTTCCCGTTGTGGATTACTTGGCATGCAGCATTGTCGTACAGCTGTTGGATGAGATGTTTAATTGTCGGTGGCACCCCGTAGTAGCGAAGTAGTTGCCAAATCACCTCTCGATCGACGCTGTCGAAGGCCTTTTCAAAGTCGATGAAGTTGAGATAGATAGGTGACTGCCATTTCAGGCTTTGCTCAATGATGATCCGTAATGTGGCGATCTGATCAATACATGACTTGTTCCTCCTGAATCCAGCTTGTTCCGGTCGAAGTTTCTCATCCAGAGCGTTTTTGACTTTCTCCAGCATGATGCGGCTTAGTATTTTGCTTGCGATGGACAGGAGCATAATTCCGCGCCAGTTCTTGCATTGACTTAAGTTTCCTTTCTTTGGTAGTTTGAATAAGTATCCTTTCTTGCAATCCTCGGGTACTTTGCCTTCTTTGCATACCTTCTCCAGTAGTGGTGTCATCAAGCCTGCTGTTGTCTCTTGGTTCATTTTCAATGCTTCTGATGGGATTCCATCTGGTCCTGCTGCTTTTCAGGCTTTTAGCATCTTGATTGCCTTCAGGACTTCTGATTTCGTCGGGGGGTTGGTGTTCACTGATAGCTCTGTATCCGTCGTTGGTATTGTTAGGCGCGTTGTTAGTGGTGGTTGATTTAGAAGTCCTTTGAATTGTTCAGCCCAGTGTTTCCTTTGCTCTACTTCTTTAGTGATTGACTTTCCATTGTTATCCTTCACTGGCTTAATTTGTGTCAAACTTTCGCCCTAAAGGTACCTAGTTGTTTGGTAGTGTTGCGAGATCTCCTTTGCCTGCAGCTTGTTCTGCTTCACTTGCCATGGTTTCATAATATTTTCTTTTGTCTTCCCTGGCACTCTTCTTTACTCTTTTCTTCAGTGTCTTGTAGCTTGCATTCAACTCCTGTTTTTGTTGCTCGTCGGTGCATTGGCGAATCTTTTGTTTCACCATCCCTCTCTCTTCTATCAGTCTCCAAGTGTCCGTAGTGAGCCACTGTTTGTCCTGTCGCTTCTTTCTGCCTAGAACTTCCATGCAGGTTTGACTCCACACTGTTTTCAAGTTGTTCCAGTGCTTTTCGACGCTGATCTCTTCGCTAGTGTTGGTTTGTGTCTCGGTTTTGTCCTTTATGCTTGCAGTGAAGATGTCCTTTGTGTCCTGGTCCTTCAGTTTTTGAGTGTTGAACTTGGCTTGTGGTCTATCTGCAGCTCCTGTTTCTTTGAAAGCTTTCAATTCGATTTGGATTGTCCCTTGTACGAGATAGTGGTCTGAGCCAATGTCTGCTCCTCTTCTTACTTTCGTGTCCAGTAGGCTGCGCCTCCACTTCCTTGAGATTGAGATGAAGTCGATTTGGTTTTTGATTCTCCCATCTGGTGACACCCATGTAGCCTTGTGGATATCATTGTGTTTGTATACGCTGCCACCAATCACTAGTTCATTGAAGGCGCTGCCAGCCAGTTAGTGCAGACTAAAACAAAACCTAGGTCCAATGCTTCCTGCTGATTGCCTTCAATCACCTGGTAACAGCACTTCAGAGTGCGCCGTGATGTTTAACCACCTAGCATTATGGTGACCACATTACAAACTTGACTGATAGAATTCAGTCGGCACCAAACAAAGGACTGGACAAATGGTACAAGTTACTAACTAGTGCCCAATCAAAGTAAACTTCTTACCGTATTACTAATGGATTGACCATAGAGATAATAGTCAGAGACTAAAACTATAAACAAAGTGCTACTCACTAGATGACTAAGCTGCAATGCTTGTCATTAATGCGTGGGTAGTGACAAGTAGAGTTGGAGTATATAGGCACTTTTCATTTGACCATATGATAAACATTGTAATTTTGAAATTGTTATTTTATGATGTTTTAAGGCAAACTAAAATTGACAGAATATTTATCTGAAACACTTCTTTCCCTTTACTAACTTAAACAAAGCAATAAGAAGACATAATTTGTCTAAATCATGTTGTCATTTATTTGTACAACACATTTCGAACAAACTAATCACATACGGACTTGTCAGAGGAATATATATGAAATTAATAAAGAGTTTATAGGTGGGGAAATACACTTAGGTCAAGTTAAAAGGACATACTGAAGGTCAAAATAACAATGAAGATCAACCACTAAATAAAATATCAGAGGTAATAGTACATCTACCCTGGCTGGTACCAAAATAAAGTTTACCAAGGGAGATTTAGTGTGATGACGAGTTGTTGCTTTAAACGCATAAAGGTGGTATAAACTTCCTAACTGCTGGCTAGGGCTTCCAAAAACTTTATGATACACCCCAAACACGTCCTAAAGATAGATTTAAAAGACGTGTAAACATCAATTTTATATCCTGTCTCCATAATATGGGTTTTTAAGTAGAGGAGCTAGATCTCCTGTTCTCACCATTAATGGGTTCTGGGGATTCAGTTTGCTTCTGAAGCCATTATGTACAGAGGTCGATAAGTCCTCCCCATGTATGTGTGGTCATACGTACATTTAAATTGGTAAATACAGTGGGATGTGACATAATTTTTCACATGTTCAAGGGGCTTAGATAGATATATTGGCTTCACATTCCCAATTATTATGATATTATCTGCATAAAAAGTCTTTTTAACCGCAGCATTCAATATTTGTGGAGTTATCAACCTGCTATGGACACCCATATAGGGTAACCGCATATAGATGTCTTTCTTAGTGGCGAGTTTATATATAGTTTTGTAATTTTATATAGTTTTAAACTCACTCTTTCAGTTTCTTCTATTTGAAAAAGTTCTTCAGGTTTTGGACGTACATACGGTGTATCAATCTATTTAATAAACAGTAAAGAGATAATCTCTTATATGAGTTAATAAACCATTTACCACAACTCCATTTATTGTTATTTGACTGTTATTCTTCTTATTCTTATTGTCATTATACTTTTTCAGTACATCGTTGTATTTACATTTTGACCAATTTTCTTCAATAGCCTTCTGTACAACTTCAAATGGAACATCATATTTTGGATCACGTTCCATTGACTCTGCTTCTTCCTTCTTTTTCTTTTTTTTCGATTAAAATCAATAATCTGTCAAGAAAAGACACTGCAGAGATACTCATTCTGAATTGATAAAATTAAGCAACATTTAGCAAATACTGTTTGATAATATTAATTTCAAATAGTACTGTTTTCGGCTAACCAATGGTGTGATGTGTACTACTGACATGATCTTGTAAGTAGTACATTGGTGACGTCTTGTGCAGGCATCTTAAATAGACATTTTGATATAGAAAGCAAGGAGTGAACCAGCAGTTGTATAAACTACACGTCTAAAGAATGGATTTCAAACAATCCCTGATACGCCAGTGTTTCCACCCAGGTTTGGACTACTGTTCTACACTGAGCCCAACCATAAACTCCTTCAGTGACTGAAAATAGAAAAAGACCCTTGGGGGAAGTTTTTGTGATGAGAATTATGTCTACTCTGAGTATGACTTCATTACTGGACATATTTTCAAGGAAATAAAATGTTATACCTATTTACCTGTCGACACGTGACAGTGAAGCAGAATTACTAGAAGCATCATATGCAGTAAATTCCGTACAGCAAGATTCTGGTCACAATACCTGTTAAAACACCAGCATACAGAAGTACTTGGGAAAAAAATGTTACTTGTATTCGTCTTTCTTTGTCGTCACCCTTTGCTTTCTGCATTTATTGTTTCACAATGGTCTTCATTTCTCCTATTAGTAACTTAATTCATTGCTCGACTATACAAGATCTTTGCTGAAGATATCCCTAGCATAACACTTACAAGCTCTTGACAGTGGTAGGTGCCACAATGGCAACAGAAGGTATGCAACTAGTCTGAAGATCGAACCTATTTGGTTTACGGTTAAAGCAGTTGGATAAATCTGGTGCTCTGAATTCTAGAATGTAGAAAAATCTTTATTTATCTTGCATTCACCTAATTACGTTACAGCCAGCTCTGGGATTCAACATGAATTCGAAGGATTTAAACAAATAACAATTACCATCATTTGTTATGCTAAACTGTTCTGCTTTGCTATCACTAAAGCCTTGTACAAACATTTGGTCCATGTTTCAAAATGAAAGTCAAAATAAGTTTCAAACCATGTTTTTTTCAGAAATAGTGTTTAGTTTGACCCTATCCTGCTGAATTCTAAGTATTGACTCGGGTATCTACGATTCTGATCTTCTTTCTACCTTTTGTAATGAACAAACAGGGTAAATTAATAAATCACTCTACAAAGACTTGTTTTAGATTAGGTTTCAGCGTTTTGTAATTGTATTTAATTGTAAGAGTCGGTGTGAACAACCTTTCCGGTGAGTCCATTTAGAAAAATTGGAAATTTCAGTAAATTTTATTAACAATTCAAATGTAAATAAAAAAAGTCTGCAAGACACATGATATGATTATGAGCAATAAATTGTATTTAAAATGTCATCCAGTTGAAAGCCTCAGTTGTTTAATTCTGTACCACTGTATATTATTTCACATAAACGTATCTGATATGTAATTATTTCCTACCACAGTGCCCAAGTTCTACACTTACATTCCTAAAGATATAAGTAGAGGAAGGCATAAAAACTTACTCTGCAGTAAAAGTTCAGCTACACCGAAACCATAAGTCCAATATTCTCTAATATTGTAACTATCAGTCTCTAGTGTTGAAAGTTGCAGTCTGATTGGCAAATACTAAATTCTTCAGTCAACATCCAGTTGCTTGTTGGTGAATAATTCCCTTTATATTCTCTTGCTTGTCTTCAATCAACAGTTATCAGATTTTTTAAATAATTACTTATTCTTATTTCCAGTATGACATAGTATATTTTCACATGCACTTCATGCTTATGGCGATATTTCAGTGACCCGTTTTGTGAAAAAAAACCTTTTCCGTTTTTAGGATCACATTGTGGAACAGCACTCTTTAATGATCGCCTAACTGAACTAAATGACACCATACCATCAAATAACGTAGGAGTACATCAGCGAAGAAGAGAAATGAAATTATGTAAGTTCATTCTCGCAAAGACTTTTGTGATGCAGCAAAAGTAGGCTTTGACCTTATATGATACAAGTCAACATTCCACCGAAAACCAAGGAAGTACAGCTTAAAGTGTTAGCTGCTGACAGGTAATAGGATAGTTTAGTACTAATGTAGTCAGACTGCTTCGTCAATGACTGTAGTAGTATTAATGAACCAGTTGAGCAGCCTGCTATATCCGACTACTTAAGTGACAGTAAAAAGTGATTTTATCTATTTATGTATCACCTCCTGTCTTGGTTCTAATCAACAATGATGTACATGGTAGAGACTCGTCACAGTTCATGATGGAAAATCACCTCGAAGTATTACATGCAGATACAAGCTAAGTTCGGTAGGTCCATGTTAACCAGTAAACATCTGTATTATTAACGGGTTATAACCCGTTATATGTACATATATATATTGCAATGTTTTGTGTTTGTGTGTTGAATTGCTGTTGTGCGAGTGGATTGGATGAGGTGCTTTGGCAGGTGGCTCTGTAGCTCAGTAGGTTAGAGCGTCGTGCTAATAACGCGTTCGATCCTCTCCACAGCCAGCGATTTTCTTCACAAACTCACACAATCAAATTTCAAAAAAGCATCTCGCCCACTATACTACACACTACTCTGTATGCCACACACAACCCAACAACAGATCGATTAAATTCCAAATCCCCGGGGTAATGACGATTACCCAATCCACACATCAACAACATTAATGCTTTATTATTTTGTATCTCCCTATTTTTAAATAAAAGCCATTCTAAAACCTCTGGGCTTGGAGAAGTAAATACAAAGATTCCTAAACCTGTCCAAATTGTTTGCAATGTGTTCGAAGTCACTGCTTAAATAAGTGAATTGCTATGTTGAATATCAATAAATACATTGCAATCTTTTCCTATTAAAATAAAACAACTTTATAAAGATGAATGATGCGGAAAAATCTGGGGATACGCTTAACCAGAAAAATTAAAGATTAAGTAAACTATTGACAATTTTGAAAAATCACGGAAAATTGTGATGACAACGTGAAAATGTTCAATATACAATGTGATCCAATGATATTTTTACGAGTCAATGCAATCCAAATTTACTTCTTTGGTAAGCGTTCCTGATCTTAGATATATTTCGGAGTAGTTTATTCCGACACTCATCTGCTGTAGCTTTGGTTAACGTGGAGAGGAGTAGTGAGGAGATATGTTAAATGTGGTTTGCAGTATAATGTGGTTATAACGTGCTGCTTCTCTGAATACAATAAGTCCTTTCACCTGTTAGTTTCCTCGTGTGTTCGAGAAGATATAAAATAGTGAACATTACCTAGACTTGGAAATAAAGACGTAGGAATAAATGGATAATAAAATTTAATAATTTGAAAGTGACTGTATAGATAGATTTACCAGAAGAGCCAGAAAGTGGATAATGCTGACTGACAAATAAAGAGTCTAAATGATGCCCATTAATAAAGTGCAGTATGTGTTTCAAGAAGATAGTCCATTTGGCATCAGTCCTTAGATTGCATCTTGACTGTCCAGACTGCGTTCAAAGTTTTCAACGGAAAGTGGAGTAGCAGCAGCCACTGATAAAGAGTTCTAGAAGCAAGAAGTTCAAGGAGGAAGAATAGGAGTGCATTTGAGTTTCTGATCTCTAATGCGCTATCCTTCATGAGTTACCACGAGAAGACCTGTAGTGAATTAATGACAGAGTAGATTTGTTTGGATGTTACACGTTATCTGTAATCTTGTAGAAGTTATTAGCCAACCGTAATCCAACAGTAGCCGAGTGGGAGAAGACCCATTTTCTTCAGGCTTTGGCGGTAATAATAATAATAATTTTTGCTTTATTCCAAAAATTATTATTATTATGGCTTACTATGGAGACCCATCACCCTTCACGAAATGTTGGGAGTGCGGGGGAGTGACACCGTGCACTTAGAAGCGCAGCTATACGTATTACTTACGCAATTTTAGAGGAAGCCCAAGAGTGAGTGCCCCCAACTTTCTGTGTGTGACGCGTACAACCACATATCATATCAGAATTATGATGCTCTTGAAGCCAACCATATACTGCCTTCCAGTGAGGAAAGGACATGTTCAAACCTCTTTTATCAACTTTATTGTTGGGAATAGTTGTCAGAACTTTCTGTGCTCTTGGGAGGAGTATTTGTTGATGAATGGACTTCTGTGTACTTGACTAGGCCTCCCTGCTCTACCTGTCCTCCAGCGCACTTATGAAATGCACGTCCTCTAATAAGCTTGTTCCTCTAATTGTATATGGGTCATCGTTCGGTCACGCTATAAATATTTTAATCTGAAAGCCGATTGCTAAACTGATGTATGCGATAACGTTCATAATATACTGTTTTTGATTCTAGCTAACCATAATTTACCCTACAGCCATCCAGAACAACAATTAGCAAGGGTGTATTTTGTTTCCAGTCTACTAACGTCCGGTCCGCAGCATCACAAAAGTACCAATTTTTTTATATATACCACGAGATATAAGAAGACGTTAAGTTTAGAGTTCCTCTCTATTGGTTACACTCTCGTTCATTTTATCACTCAGCTAATGATTCTGTTCAAAAATACGCACGTCAAATGCTAAAATTTGTTTTCTCCCTTCAAATGTGAGTTGGGAATTAAATTCCCCCCGGAAAAACTCATGTCCACGAGCTGTCCAAATGACAAAATTTTGACTGATTGAAAACGTCTTGACGTCTATTCAATCACATTTACATCTCAGGGATCCTTTTGCGCATCTAAAGGTTACAAATCTATCTCGGCCTACATACTCACTACTTCCATCAAGCTCTGAGTTGCCCGTCGATTCTGCCATACTAATATTATTGCTGCTTATCTACTGGGAATAAACCCTTTCCCTTTACCAGTTTCTGCCGTTTTTTGCCTTCTGTCTCAGATCCATAATACGCAATGAATGTTACTGGTTCTTCAAGGCTCGCCTACTCGCCGTTACTACTTTCAGTTAATCA